CAACCTAGATGATTCTATGATTCTATGATTCTATGATTATGAGCAGCGAGGCACATCCACCATAAAGTGCACCCACAGTTCCCTGACCTGTTGTCTTTCTGCCAAAAGACATGCTTTCCTTGGGTTTCTGCTCTGAGGGAGGTTGACCTGCTCTTGCTATCCTTCCAGGAGTTCAAGAAATAAAAGAGAACCTATTTCCTTTTTAATCTTTTAAGTTACAGAACAAGTAAAATAGGGATGGGGAAGCTGTTTTAAGTGAATTGTGGTAAGGAAAAGGAGTGTTACTGATGTTAATCTTGCAGTTGACTTCAGCATAAAATAGGGACTCAGCACTTTTGAAGTGTGGATAATGACACATGGTTTTCTCAGTTTCTTACACTGTTTCATAGTTTCACCATTTTATTTTTTCACATTTAAATGTTGAGTATAAATTAAACAGTACAGCTATAAAAGGCATGTTCATTTGTATATTTATAGTTTAAAAGCTATAAGGTGAATCTCTGTGTATCCTTAAGATTTTCACAGTCCCTGAAACTATATATCCTGTAGATTATCTAATGTGTGGCTGCTTTTTTTTTCTGTAGGTTGCTGCTGAGAACAGTGCTGGTGTTGGAGTATTTAGTGATCCTTTTCTTTTTCAGACTGCAGAAAGTGGTAATTTTAATAAAGCTGCTAATTATTTCAGTTAAAGTTACTCTAATTTGTTCAAATAAAGTATCCATGGCACATTTTATACTTGAAGAAATTCTGATGTATTTAAAACAAAATCCTAATTCTTTTCTTATTCTCTCACTCAGTGGAAAAGGTGCATTTTGTCCTAGTTGCTGGTAACAGCATTTAGGGTGTGCACATATGGGGCTTTCTTATATGCAAAGTCTGTTTCTTTTGGGGTTTTCCTATGCCAGTTTCTAGGTAGGCTGCTTCCAGAAAGCAAGGTCACAGGAGAGCAGAGCTACCTATCAAGTGGACCCATCTGCTGTTGCCTGCAGCAGTACTAGGAGACAGACTTTGTTGTGGGATCAGCTCTGGTATTGCCTACTTATGTCAAGCCATATTTGTTTAGTGCTGGAGTCAAGTGCCTTCTCTACAAAGCCCAGCACAGAATGTATTTTACTAAGTTTTTACTTCTTAATTCTGAAGAAAAAGAAAAGTTATAATACATTGCTGAAATGAAAATTTGACTTGATGGTTTTGAAGATTAAAAAATTATAGTCTGAATTTGCATAATCTTTATTAATTTAGTGTTTGTAGTCTTGCTCACACTCCAGCAGCAGTTGAGCCTTGGTTGAAGAGCTGGCACCAGGCTAGCTATGCTGGGGTGAGCAAGTCTTAGTGGAATACAGAATTTGTGCTGCCGTGGCGGTGACCATCCCTCTGTGTTTAGGACTCCTGATTGGTTTCTGTAACTGTGCAAACCACAGAGTGCCACATCTCAGTTAATAGCAGGAAATCATCACTCTGCACCAGATTTCTTGGGTAATGCAATGAGTTGATGAAACAAAATATGAGAAGGCACCCGCCCGAGGGGGATTCCAGTGGCGGGAGGGGGAGCTGGAGCCCTTTGCTGCCTTGCCTGTCTGGTTTCCCTCTCAGCCAGCACAGAATCCCACCAGATTTTACTTCCAGTTAACCCAAACCTTCCAGTTTTCACAGTTCTAAAGGATGGGTGGCGCACTGGGAAGCTTGGCAGGTTTTCTCACAAGAGATAACTACCTCTCCCTGTGTACCTTCATCTCCTCAGACTCTCCTTGTAAGGCAGACTAAATATACAGGAAATGGCCTCAAGTTGCGTCAGTGGAGGTTTAGATTGGATACTAGGAGAAATTTCTTTACTGAAAGAGTGGTCAAGCATTGGAACAGGCTGCCCAGAGAGGTGGTGGAGTCACCATCCCTGGAGGTGTTCAAAAAACGTGTGGACATGGTTTAGTGGGCATGGTGGTGTTGGGTTGATGGTTGGACTGATGATCTTAGAGATCCTTTCCAACCTTAATGATTCTATTCTAGTTTTACTTTCATTAAAAAATAATCCAGCCACCAAGCCAGGAAACATGAAATTAATTATTACTCTACCTTTAACTGGTTTAGTGGTGAACTTGGTAGTGTTAGGCTAATTGTTGGACTTGATGATCTTAAAGGTCTTTTCCAACTTAAACGATTCTATGATTCTATAAGGGGTAGTAAACTTGCCATGTGGTGCTGTGCAAAATGATTGGTTTTAACTATTCTTTGTATGTTATTGTTGGTAGAAAACCTTATTTCTGTGAGCTTTATTTTCTCATGTTTGACTGAGGCATCAGCATTTCTCCATATGAGCACATTTTAATTTTTGATGAATTTCTGCTCACATTTTATTAAAGCTAAAATCCCATATTATAAATGCAGTTGGAAGGTTTCTTCAAATTCTGGGTGAGTGTTCTGTGTCACTGGTACTACATTTATACTTTTATCTTCTCGGCTTTTTTTTTAACTCTTGCTTTGATGGTTAAAGAAACCGCAAGATCCTGATCAATATGAAGAGGTACAGTTTAATGTAGGAAAGTTAGGCAGAAGACATAATTATTTAAATATAAAGGCTGTAGGCTGGGATGAGGCAGAAGGGGGTGAAAGATCTGCAAAAGATTCAGCAAGGCCGAAGCAAGAGCTGAATATGAGGCTTGGAGGATCTGTCACAATTCAGCTGTGGAAGATCTGTAATTGTGAACACTTGTATATGTGTATATTTTTACAGCAGCATAACCCTTTCCTCCTTAGTAGTAAGGCTAGCTATCACAGGAACTTCTACTGCCCGTGCCATGCAGACAGGACTAAAGAGAACTACACTGCTCTAATTCTCAGGAAAGTTCATACAGATTGTAAAATCTCTCCCATTCCTTTGTGCTGTGATTAATACAGATGCTTTGATAAAAGGACCTGGAAACTGTCACTGATACAAAGAACACTATTTCTGTAGTAATAGTGAATGTTCAAATTAAATTGAGCTATTTAAAGCTACCAAAAATCTATATCCAGCTGAAAAGATGACACGGGTGAAGTGACATAAAATACCCAGTGCTGTCATATGCTCTTAAACAAACAGAAGTGGGCAAAAATTGCTAGTTCTGTCACAGCAGATGAGTTGATTCTAGGAAGAATATTTTTAAGTTGACCAAACCAATTACTATATGATTATTATGAGACTGAAATAATTATATTTCTCACTTAAACTGGATTGGAAAAGAGCTGGTTGCATATCAGCTACTTTATATGTGTTTGTGAATGGTTGTTATTTATTTGCTTCAGGGTTTGGAAGTAGAAATGGCATTACGAAAAAAAAAGGATTTTTTTTTTTCCAGTGCTGAGAAGAAAAGTATGTCTCACTGCTTTTATTTGTTTTGTTTTCAAGCTCCAGGTAAAGTAGTGAATCTCACAGTTGAAGCCTTAAATTACTCAGCTGTAAATCTGATCTGGTTTCTACCTCGGCAACCAAATGGAAAAATAACTAGTTTCAAGATAAGTGTGAAACATGCAAGAAGTGGAATTGTAGTGAAAGATGTCTTGGTTAAAGTAGAGGACCTTCTGTCTGGGAGGTTACCAGAATGTAATGTAAGTGCTGTAAACCTTTTAAATTAGAAATAGACTTAAGCCACAGAATATAGCTTTACATTTGAATTTTGAGACATAAAAAATTTGGAGGCTTGCTTTTCAGAACAATCCCAAATACTTTACAAACTTGGGCCCAAGGCAGGATATAATGGTTAAAGAAAAACCTCTCTGTCCAAAATAGTTTAAATGGAATACTTTTCCTTGAAAAGCTTAGTTTGATCAAAGTAAAAATATTAAGAAAGGGTCTATTTGGCGTCCTTTTAACAGAAAATGATGAAAGAGATAATTTTGAATTGAATTTTTTTCAGCTTTCATTTTTTTAATTTCTGTTTTTTACAGCATTCAGTTAGAAAAGGCAATAATTTTTATTTTTTGGTCAGTGCAGACGTAATGTTAATATCTTATTTTTTATATATAGTATGATGATGCTTGTTATATTTTAAATGTATGCTTTATTCTGTGCATCACATTTCAACATTATTTAGATACTTTTCATATCAGAATAAAAAGACCTACTGTTAGCAGAGTGACTTTTAAAAAAAAGCCTGTAGTCTGACTTGTTCTTAAAATAAGCATTCATTGAAAAGTTTCTGAATTTTGACTATTCATTGGATTCAGACCTGTAACCAATGTATACCTTTCAGAATTTCTTGAAGAAAGTTCTCTTTTCCAGTGTTTATTCTCTTTTTCCTCTTTATTCTGAGAAGTCTTAGTACTTTAATGAAAAGTGCCATTTTAAATAATAAAAACTTTGGTTTCAGATTTTATTTGGAAGATCATTTTAGGCACTGTGAAGGTTCCCAGCATCCGGCTGACTTAATTTGGTACTGAGAAGAGAGACTGCCACCTACTGAATCATAAACATTGGTTATTGTAATATCTAGCAGTTTTTCAGAGGTGTCTCCTGACAATATGGATTAGGAAACCCCTGTCTGGTCTTATCCATTATACATGGATATGTCTGTGCTATATATGTACATGTACATACATACATACATAAAACATACATGTGATATAGAAGGACCTCACTAGGGGACTTTTTTTTTTTTAAGAGAGAGACCGAACGCTGAAAATGGAATCTAGGAATAATTAAATGAATCCTAAAGAGTTGGTTCTGTACAGTCAGATTTGAGAACTTTGGGGATAAGGCAGGAAACTATAATACTGCCACTAACAGGATGTACTAGCAATGTCAGCTAATGATAACCTAAATTTGGAGATTGAAGTATAAAAAGGAGAACCAATTTTGGATAATTTTGTTTCAAAGGTAGTCTGCCTTTTTTGATCTACATGTATTTACAATTATAGCTTATAGATGCAGCTTACCATATGTTGTATTTTGTCTTTATAGGATAACAGTGAATCATTTTTGTGGAGTACTACCACTCCCTCAACTACTTTTGGCAAATCCACAATTCCTTCACGGACTACAGTTACACCAAGTACAGAGGCATCGAGTCAAATGAGCTCTGTTTGGAATGAACCAATTAGTTTTGTTATAACTAACCTCAGGCCATATACCACCTATCTTTTTGAAGTTTCTGCAGTTACCACTGAAGCAGGTTACATTGACAGTGCAATTGTCCGGACGCCAGAATCAGGTATATACTACTTTCAAATGGGAATAAAGTTCTCAGATTAATACGGAAACTTCAAAATATCAGTTCGAAGTTATGTTGCAAGGTACTTCAGTCCAAACCTGTCTTTATCTGTATCACACTCTTGTATTTACATGATTACTTAATTTTACCTGATAGAATCAACTGAAAGTGTATGTAACTATTAACATATCTAATAATGTACAGTGAGTGGGAGTTCAGTTATTACTAAAAGTCAAAGATACCAAAGTATGCTCAGGACAGATAAAATTTTATGGAAAACTGAGGATAATTTAAGAACTGCAATTAATGGCACAATGGTAGGAGAATTAAAAATACAGATGAAGAGAAAAAGTGTCAGGCATGGTATTCAAAAACTATGTGTATTGTATACATAGCAATGCACTTAAAGCTGCTTTGCCTTTGTGGAAAAATAAGCAGTATAAAGGAAACTCCTGTCCCATGGTTCCTCAATCTGGACCTATTGCACGAAGTTTTTCAGTCCTGAAGAAATCTTTAAACACTAGGAAAGCTGATTTTTGATTACCTGCAATGCACTGAGAAGTTAGAATTGGAAACGAAGGTTGTCCAGGAGCAGTTTTATAAAGGCGTAGGTAGTCGGCAAAATTATCGATAGAGCCATACCAAAAAGGTGTTCTAGAGGAATATTATTCTGGCTTTCTGTTTGCTAGTACATCATCCTTTTGTCTGACACAGTTTGATGTTACTGGGTTCCCCTTCCATGCATCCAGAATTCATACCTCTGTTCAGATGAAAAGAAATGTAATTCCCTCCTAGCACTGTTCATTTGAATTGCTTTGCTAGAATTAAAATACCCTTAGTTTGCTGTTATGTCTAGGGTCAATGAAGGTTTGGATAGTTTCTGTTCTAACGATCTCAGGGCTAATTTCCAGTTTATTTTTCACCCTGTTAACATCCTAGGATAGGTGCACTGGTAATAAGAAAGCCCTGGAAAGTGATGAAAAGCTTCTGCAATGGGGTTTAGTTCTGCCAAATACATAGAAAGGTGTCAGCTGTTTGAAAGAGATCTTCAATCCTTGCTTACCGGGTGCCTGTAACAGCCAGGGTTCATCTGTTAAAGCATGGTCTGGAAAAATGGAGGTTGTCTTACTGGTCAGCGTGGGTGGATGTGTGCTGTGCCCGGAGCCACCGGCGCACCCGCAGTCAGCCCTTGTGACCCAAGCTTCAGTAAGTCCTTCCTCTTAGCAGCACGCTGGAATGCCCAAGCTTCTGGATCCACCTCTGTTAGATCGTCACCTTTATGAGCATTCAGGTGCTTGTTAAAGTGTTCCCCGGCGAGGTCTGTGTGCCAAGGAACTTGTTCGGAGGCTGGCCGTAGAGTTGGTTAGTGGTTTGTTAGGAAGGCGTTATGAGTTAATAGGTGTTTTGCCTCATTGTTTTTATTTTCTTACCTTTTGTTTGCTTCAATAGGAAAGATGTTTTTACATGCTGAAGTTTGTATTTATCTATATAGCCTATAGAGCAAAATCATGATTTAGGAGTGTTACTTTGCAATTACTGTAACAGGTCCCCCCTCCAGTATCAAGCACTACCATCTAGTCTCTCTGTAGTTACTGAAATCCCTTTTCCAAATGTCTTGGTTCTTACAAGAATCTCTTTAGTGTCACACTAGCCATCCCCTTCAAGTTACCAGTTTCTTGTATGGCCAAAACCTCACATTTCAGTCCTCCGCTGGGGTGTCTGAGATGAGGCTTGAGGGAGAGGAATTGATAGATGGTAGTTTGTGATAGCAGGTGGGAGGATGGAGAGCGCATTTATTTCAAATACCATTTTCCTGCTCACACAGGAGCATGACACAGCGTTATTGTCATGCTCATTTCGCCACACAGAGGAAGGTGATATATGTCTCTACTGTATATCTCATTGGTGTTCCATGTTGAAAACTATTTCTGCCCCTTCAACCAGAATTTTCTGAGCCATGCTGAAGCTCTCTTGTGTTCTTGATAAAGATAATATTTTTCTTGCTTTGATTTTTGAAAAAGAGGCTACTTCTTTAATGCATTTTAAAATGCTTCATTATAAATATTTTTTGAAAACCCAGTATGCAAATATTTCCTTTGCTGGGATGGCTGTCAAGGGGAGCCAAAGAGAAAAAGATTTAAACCTTGAAAAAAAAGTGAACTTTTAACATGATACTTCAGAATTATGTGCAATTGTAGTTGATGCAATTTGCATAACTAAGGATGATTAAGCAGTCACTACTGACCAATCTATAGCATATCTTTTAGGAATGACAGGATTTTTCATTTCTTTCATTTGTACATTAGTTTTTACAAAAGACGATAGTACTTTTTAAGAGTAGTATGTTAGTTAACTTGCATATTTGTTTACAGGATCAGTCTGTATCTCCATAGTGGCTTAAATCTCACACATGACATATTAAGACCTGATTTTCGTAGAAATTGTATCAAGCAGTTTCCGTAAGTTTACTTGGGTATGCAGCACTTCTGAAAATGAGGTTTGTTTTTACTCTACATGAATGTAAAAAATTCCACCTCTTTTAGTCATCTTTGGATTCAGATTTTCATCTCAATAGTAATCTCTCAATAACTTATCAATACAGTAAGTATACTTTAGAAAGGACAGGGATTAGATTCCATAATCACTTGAGTGTGGGATTCATTTAATTTATGTGAATAGTTTCATGAAAATAGAAAGTTACTCAAGTATGCAATGTTTTTTGCAAGCTTAATTGTTTCCAGGTTTATCTCTTTGGATCGTAATGTATATCATTACTGCTGTCAGAAATCTTCAATATGAAGTATCATCTATATGAAAAAAGAACCTGTTCAAGGAAGAACAACGTACCCGATGTGGGCTCTGTTTTGCTGAGTATCAATTGTATTTGAGCATCTTCTGTGTGTAATCTATATCATGATGAAGTCCATGCTAAACTTGGTAGAATCCCTGCCACCTTTGTCTTTTAAGGATTGTTTGCGTAGTGCAAGCTCTCTTGATACCTTTTGGAAGCATTACCTTAAAAAAGTGAAATAAAAATAAGTCATTTTAATGAGAAGTAGTTTTAATGTAGCTTCCCTTCAGAATATTTATGTTTAAAAGAAATTGTATGATGTGTGGTTCTTAGAAATGCTTATATAAATTATTTCATGTTCAAAGACTTTTTCCAATATTGTTTAAGTTCCAGAAGATCCACCACAAAATTTTGCCAAGAGCAATATTACAGCAAAGTCTTTCTCTGTGATGTGGGACCCACCAACCATAGTAACAGGAAAGTTTAGTTACAGAGTTGAGCTTTATGGACCATCTGGTAAGTCTGAATTGATGTTTTTATTTATTTTTCTTTTTTTGTGATTATTTCCTTGCACTTGCAGTCTTAGTGTGCCTGCCAATCAAGAATGAATATTTGAAAGCAGTGCTATGTATCCTTTTTACTATTAGAACTCTTAATAGATTTTTAGATTACTTTTAAGGGAAAAGTCTGTCCATCATGAGGAAAACCATTGTCGTGGTTTAGCAACTATGTAATGAAATTCACATTAGAGATTCTTAAGAGTGACGGAAACCAACTTTCCTCACTCTTTTTAGAGAGATGACATGCTAAGCTCGCAGCTGAGTTAGGGTGCTTATATATCCAAATTGTTCTGTATCTTACCTTTATTCTTTTTTCTTTCTGTTAAAGATTTCTGGATGATTTTCATTCCTGTGTAGTATGCAATCAACTGTATGAGTCTGTTTTGACATTTTTGTAATTTTTTTAACTCAGACATGGATATATAAAGAAATTATATAACTGCCTGTAGTTAAGTAGTTAATGAGCTGCATAGTAATGTTTTTATGGGACTGCACAGGAAAAGCAATAGAAATTAATTTATAAACAAAAAATCCCCACCTCTTAAACCCTTTATTTTCTTGAGATGGTTTGGGGGGATTTTTTCAGGCATTCAGTATTATTTCCAATCAGGTTCATGCCAAACTAGCCTTTTCACCAATAAATTTGGCTTTTCATTGTTCATCATCCTGGAAAGTAGCTATATTTTAATATAAGCAAATAATGGACTGTTTTTATTTTTGAGCTAGAATCTCTTAATTTTTCATTCCAGGTCATGTTCTGGATAACAGCACAAAAGATCTTAAGTTTGTATTTAGTAACCTGGTGCCGTTTACAACATATGACGTGTACGTCAGTGCCGAGACAAGTGCTGGGGTGGGGCCAAAGACTAACCTTACAGTTTTCACTCCTGCAGATGGTAAGTAAGCATAAAGAAGTGAAGTAAATGGGCTGTAGATGACAACTGGTTTCAGTTTTCCCTTCAAAGCCTTTTAGGTACTTTGCGAAGGAAAGAATGGGTGTGTTACAAGACTCTTAAAAGAGAGGGATAACAAGCTAATGAAATATATTAGCTGAAAATTTATTATGTCGTTTTATTTCTCCATTTTTTTTTCGAGTTCATATACTGTCACTAAATTTTCTTGCTATCAGAAACCTTCAGAGATTTGTGAAAGAAACGTAGTTTCTGCCTGAATGAACGTAGTTATTTTTAGACACGGTAATTAAGTTGCAGGTCCCCCACTTACCCGTTAGATGGCAGCAAGTGGAAGAGAAAGAACAGCGCAGGATTCCGCTTCCCTCCCCCGCCCCACCTGGTTTGTTCAGCCCCGAATGTTTCGTATTAAACACCTTGGTTGACTTAATTTTCAGCAAATCCAAGGCCTCATGCCAGTTTCTAATGGAGACACCTTTACCAGGGACCTTAGCTTTGAGGCAGACCCAGTATCGACATCTTGTCCTGGGGCAATCAAGTGGTTAGTTCTGCCCCTGAGCCATCTCCTCTGTCGTTTGGGAGTTTTGGCTCCCAATATTCTGCTCACCAGGTGAGGGTCCTTCGCTCTATAGAAATGCAGTTTTATCTTACATGTGTGTGAGTTTGTGCAGGATTATTGGTCTGCAGCTGAGGATGCAACCAGAAAAATTTGAGAATCAGCGTGTAATAGGCAGGTAGTTTCCAGATGCTTATTTTTGTGTTGTGTTTATGCCACACAGCACAAGTTTAGAACACCTCTCAATCAGTGATCGCTGCAATGCTTGCTGTCAGTGTAACAGCAGGAGGAACACCCATCCTTATTTATCATATTCTTTCCTGAAGTATCCAAAGTATCTGCTTTTGTCAGCTCTCAGAGACAATTTACAGAGATGGCCTGCCTCAGCACAGCCATGCTCATCTTCTGTATAAACTCACCGTCAGAAGCCAAAGGGTTTTTTTGTATTGGTTTTTTTTTAGAGTGACCTAGAATGTCTTATTTTTACGCCAACTCTACAAACCTTCATTATGCAAGTAATTTCAAGTTTGTCTTTTTCTGTTGTATATTAGGAAAAATCATTTCTCATATAAAATCATTATCATTCTGTTCTATTCTATTGATTATATTCATTATATTCTATTGGATATAAATGTTTCTGATCTCTGGCCATTCTATGTAAAGTACAGCATTGTTATTACTGTGTAGTTAACCGAGTAATTGAACCAAAACCTGTTATAAAAGTGAAATGAACAAGGGGTTTTTTTTCAGATTTTACTTCATTCTTACATGGTTTTAATGAATTTAGAATTAAGCTTTCATTTTCAATATGCTTGAGGTTCCATGTAGTAGGCTAACAAAAGTTTTCTTGCTTCCAGTGCACTGACTTCAGTAGAGCTATCCTAATTTACATCATCTTAGGAGTTGACCATATTCATACATACGTCATATATGTCACAAAACTGTGCGTATTTGTAGAACTGTAACTAGTTTTCTAAAAAAACATGCACATGCTCTACCTGCATAGGAGCAACTCAAAAGATAAGGATGTGAAATTTGATTAAATGCCTATTGTACTTCTCACACAGTGCTGAAAAAGCTTGTAATAATCAGAGATGTTTAATTACATCAGGTTTTTTCTTGAATATTTAGTCCCAGGTGCTGTATCAGATTTACGTCTAGCAGAAGTGGAAGCCACATATATAAAAATTGTTTGGAGCAAGCCACGACAACCAAATGGAATAATTTTACAGTATAGAGTTAAAGTACATGTACAGGAAACAGAGGTGACTCTGGAAAACACTATTCTCAAAGGCAAAAATAAGGTATTTATTTTTTTTAATATGGATTTCTTTGCTAGATTAAATTTGCTTCTCTGCCTTATCCAATAGGTACAGAATGTGGAATTAGCCACCACAGATGAGTTTTCAGTGCTTTTAAAAGCCACCATCCTCGCCCCACCCTCTTTCTCTGGCTGTTTTTTAAAGAGATTCCAGTAATGCTGTTTCCACAACATATAAATAAATAATAAATAAATAATTCCAGTGAAATGATACAGAATTTCTTAGCTACTGAATGTAGGAAGCCATAGCCCACAATCTTACTATCCCTTCTAGCCCTTGAGTTCTTTGCAGCATAGGGTGACCTAACAGTAAGGGTACAGATTTAGGTGCCTAGACAGATACATAGCCACTCAGGCAAACTCCTAGAAGATGTGGGTATGAATCCTATGGAGAAGTGAATGCAACATCAGTCTCCCAAGGCTGATCAAGTCCTCTGCTGGCAAGGCAAACCCCCCTAGACTTCCTGCCCCCATTTGTATCCTTGAATTTACATGTCTGATACTCCATGCTGAACTCCATGCTACGGTTGTGTATTAAGGATATCTGTGCACATCTACTGCATGCATCAAATCTTTTAGGAGACTTATGCTGTCAGTCAGTCTAGCTTTTGGATTTTGGGTGTTGATGTGCTCTACATGCTTAGATGGGGCAGCTCGGAGCATGCAGCACAGAACCGTAGACCCCTAGCAAATGTTCAGCTCAAGATTGAGTACTTTCTGAGGTAGGGCTTTTTGGTCTTAATTTTGAACACAGGTGCCCAAAGTTTGAATAATACTTTTTTTTTTTTTAGACAATGATGTCTTTCTCTGGATCTGACACAGAATCTAAGTTTTTGATGTAGAGCTCAATGAAGGAGTTTGCTTTCAAGTTGAATGGTATGCATTAAATAGAGCCCTAGAGCCAAACATTAAATAAGGAGTAAGGGGGAAAAAAATTAGGATAGGGATCCATTCATTAAACCAAGCAGGCATCCTTGGAAAATGAAGTATATAACTCTATAATTAAAGATTGTATCATAGTACAGAAAAAGAAAAAATGAAAATTGTCTGCACAAACATGTTTTAATGGTAGGATTTCCTAAATTTTGAGTTCTTAGTTTAGCACCATTGCTGCTTTATTATAGTTTATTGAATGTAATTGTCTAATTAAAAAACAAAACAAACCATAATAAACATTACTTTATTTAGAACCTCATTGACCCAAGCTTAGAGCATCTACAGGATTTGAACTGTTACATCCACAGTGCTAACAGTACTCAATAACTATAGCAGTAAGAGCTACTGTGGAAAATCCCCAGAGGCAAAAAGTATTTCCACATGGGTTACTATTTTGCTACAAAATGCTGGTGAAGATGAGGCATATATAGCTTTTACTTGTTGGTACTTAGGTGAGGTTGATGCTGTATCTCTGCCTGTGGTTAATCCCCCCTAGTTACAGCAGTAAAAAAGCTGCTTTGCCCTCTCGCCATCCAGAGTCTGTAGGGAGACAGCTAATGCGTATTAGTTATATCACCGTAGAAGCATCTCTTTCTGGCAGTGAAGTGGGCCATATGTGTGAGTGGGGAGTGTTCACAGATGACAGCAGAACAATTTAGAGACACTGGAGTCCTGGATTCAGTCCCAGATTCTGAAGGGGCATAATGATCTAGTGCTTACACACCGTTTTGTACCTATGCTCTAAGCTGTCTTTCTTCTGTTCTGCTTTTGTTGTTCCTCTGTAGTTCTTGCTCCCCTTTTATCTACTGCCATCCTTTTCCAACATTTGTCTTTTGCCCCTTCTGTCCTATGGACCTCTGTGTCACCTACCTCCCTTTCACTCTCCCTTTTCACATATATACTCCCTTATTTGCCCTCTCCCCTTTATTTCATTAGCTTCTGTTTTCCACCCCCTCCCCTTATCCCCTCTCAGCGATCTAGTCAACCTTTTATTCCTTTTCTTCAGGGCATAGTAAGGGCATCTGAAGCCCTCTTGTTTTCGGTGCCTGCAGCCCTGTTTCAGAACATGCTTAGTACAAATGGAATCTCCCAAACTCAAACATGTGTCTGTTCAATGTAACTCCAAGGGTAGAGCATTAAAGTTAAAGGCCCTGCTTGAAAATTGCCACTTTACTATAAACCCCATATTCTAAGAAATTTAAAAAAAGAATGTGGTGTTTGTTTAAACAATAAAAATGAAGAAAATTTTGTAGGCTACTGGCATCTGAGCTTTTTCATGAGAAATATTGTATTTTGCAAAGTTAGTTACTGTTGTAATGCAAGGTAATGTTTGTATGCCAACATTTATATAGTGCGTGTATATATATGCACAAATATACAAACACTATTTCTATATTATATATAAACTTAATTAAATAATTTAGTGATGACGAGGTTTGTGATTTATTTTTATATTTCTAATTTTTAGTATTTGATTGATTCTTTGGAACCATACATGATAAATGAAAACATCAAACCTTCTCACCCTTGGAATTCAATGGAAACAGCCAATGAATTATATGAAGGTTCGGCTGAAATGTTTCCCAGCATTCAGACAGCTTCCCCAGTAATATTTACAAGTGTATCTGGTGATAATTTGCCTGCTATAAATGGAGCTGCAGAATTACATTCTGCTTTGGGTAAGATATTTTAGGATATTTTTCTATCTGCTCCTTTGTTCTGAAGGACCCCCATCGCTGTCCCAGATATGATCTTTAGCACATGGTTCAAGCAAATTATGAATGGGTCATTTGCTGGAGTCGGATTTTTTTACTACCAAATAACCTTCTGAAGCAAATGGGAATGCCACACAGGCAGGAACTAGCCCTAGCCCCTTGTCACCCAGCTGACCTTCTTCCTAGTGAAAGGAGCACCCGAAAGCCATCAGCCAAGCTGCATAGACAATCAGTTATTACAGTTGCCAAAGCAGGTGTGATTGTCAGGGATTAACATATCTCCAGGCCCTTCAGAGACCTTGATTTCTCTAAGCCTTTTGACTAATAGGTTTTCAAATGTCAGTGAAGGTAAATAGGTCAAAAAGTTACAACTTTGCTATATGGGTGACAAACAGGTGGAGATGACCCCATGACATGGTGATGTCATTAGTGTGTACACTTGTTCTGTATTATCAATGGACCAGTGTTTCTTTACCAAGTATGGATATTTACAAATCATTAAGCAGGCCTCAGTTGACAGGGACTTAAAATACCACTCTAAATTTTTACAGTGAGTTTTGAATAGTAGGGAGAAAGTAAAGTTTTTATTTTTTTATTTTTTATTAAAGTCACCTAATTCCTTCATATACACCAGTGTCTAAAACCAGAATTTAATCCATTAGTTTAAACTACAGTGGATCTTTTCTGTAGTGTATTAATCCTGAAAAATCTTCTTTGACATACAGAGAAATGTACAGTCCTTTAAATGTGAATCTTCTTTTTATGACCTCATTCCGCTTGAGGTATTGAGTTGCTAAAAGATGTCAGTGTTGCTGAAAAATTGATTTCAGACAGCATCTGTTGTAATCTAACATACAAGTATTATTTTATAGTAGTTATTGTAGCAGCTAAAGCTGTTGACAGCCAAATTTTCAACAGGGTCTGCTGATTTTTAGATGCCTCCATTTTAATGCTGGTCTTGCAAAACTCTGAGCCTGATACTCAGATATGCAAAGCACCAACACTTTGTCATGTTGCAGTGGTATAATGGCTGCTTTATAACAGATGATTTTGACTAGCACAGTTGGGTTGCAGCTGACTTTGAACTTTATTGCAGATGCACCAAAAACTCTTTGTGGGTATGTATGACTTCTTCGTTCTGCTGACCACAATTCTTCTGCTAAAAACAACAGTGTGAAGGGATCTGTGAGGGGAGCCATTTCAAGTATAGTTATTATAGCACCATTGGGAGGGCAAGGAAAAGAGAATCTGTCTTGCTTAATTAAAAAAAATTGAAAACAAAACTAGAAGCTCCATCAACTTAGGAGCCATGGTTCTGAAGTCACTGGAGAGACTAGGCCATCTACAAGTATGCCTTTTCCTAATTCCTAGGAGAATTCTCTCAAATGTTTTTGTAGATAGCTGTCAGTATAAACCCCATGGTTTTAGTTCTTGCCTGTTCATTCTTTCACCTATGCCAGTCTATCTATTGTACACATGAAAATGGACCTATAATAGCCTCTACTTGATTGAGTTAAGAGGCCGAGTGTAAACTTTTTGTAATTGCCGTGAAAGTTAATTATTTTTCAATAAAATAGTTCCAGGTCACTGTGTCAAAGTGAGTTTAGAATGCAAAAGGGAAAAAAAAGAGTTTATGAGTAACTAACTATTTCTCTCCATTTAATCACAGATAATCAGTATACCATTAACATTTTGGCTGAAGAACTGTCATATGTTATAAAGGGCCTCATACCTTTCACCGACTACACAATCAGCGTGTCTGCTTTCACTGCTGTTGGAGAAGGACCACCATCAGTTCTTACAGTCAGGACACGTGAACAAGGTAAAATGTTGTAACTCTGATATTATCAAAGTTAACATACATGACTTCTTTCACTGAACATTTTATAACTTTTTTAATCATTTATTTGCTTACTGTTCTATTGTTCTGTTTTCGTTTAAGTTCCAAGCTCTGTACAAAATATAGCTTACACGAATATTAGCTCTTCCTCTGTTTTGCTGTATTGGGATCCTCCAGCAAATCCCAATGGGAAAATCATTCATTATACTGTTTATGCAATGGAACTGGATACAAAAAGAACATTCCACATGACAACTGCAAACAACAGCTTACTTATGACAGGTACAGTGTCATTTGATTTTAAAAAAACCTAATAAATTGCAAATACGTTATACAAAATTATTTTTTCCAACTTTATGTAATGTAGCCATCTGCAAGGTGGGCGGACCAAATCTCCCGCATCCACAGACATCCACACACACACAAGAGCACTGCATGTAAAAGCAAGATTGGGACACTACTGAGAGACTTGTCTACTGTGGAGGGGTATGTAGGGAATATGAAATGGGAGGAGAGGATTAGGTAAGACAAGCAATAATTTGCAAAACGTGCCAAGTAGTAATTTGTGAACTCTGCTGAGTAGTAACTTGTGAAATGGATTTCTCCTTAGTTTTTTTTTCCTCAGCCTTTTCTTTCCACATAGGAAAATATACCTAAATTGTCAATTCTTTTTCAGATTTGAATTTTTTTCACAGTATTTGTCTGACAATAATAATTTTCTCCTTTTAAGGTGATAATTTTGATAGTAATTGAAGAAAATGCATTTCTTATGGAGTTTCAGGCATGTATTTATGCTAATCAGTAATGCATGTAGAATAAAAACATACTTGGATGTACACATACACATCCTTTGTTTTGACAAATAAATTCTTAAAGCTATTTACAGGGTTGAAGCTCGTTGACTTATTTCAAAATCTGTTGATTTGACTGGTTATTTGGCTCTCCCCAAATAAATGGTATTACATACTCTGTCTCTTAGGTCACAAATGTGTATCAAAAACTTTTAGAACAGTATCGTGGTTTAGCCCCAGCCAGCAACTAAGCACCACGCAGCCGCTCGCTCACTCCCCCTACCCTGATGGGATGAGGGAGAGAATCGGAGGAGTAAGAGTGAGAAAACACTCCTGGGTTGAGATAAGAACAGTGTAATAATCGAAATAAAGTAAAGTAGTAATGATAATAATAACAATATAATAATGATAATAATAATATACAAAACAAGTGATGCACAATGCAATTGCTGACCACCCGCCGACCGATACCCAGACAGTTCCTGAGCAGCGATTGCTGCTCCCCGGCCAACCCCCCCCAGTTTCTATACTGAGCATGACGTCATATGGTATGGAACAGCCCTTTGGTCAGTTTGGATCAACTATTCTGGCTGTGCCCCCTCCCAGTTTCTTGTGCACCTGGCAGAGCATGGGAAGCTGAAAAGTCCTTGAGTGGCATAAGCAGTACTTAGCAACAACTAAAACACCAGTGTGTTATCAACATTCTTCTCCTACTAAATCCAAAACACAGCACTATGTCTGCTACTAGGAAGAAAATTAACTCTATTCCAGCTGAAACCAGGACAAACAGTAACTGTTTTTATACTTTTATAAGTAGCTATGAGGAAAAAAAAATGTTTAAAAAGTCAATGGTCAAGATTTTTTTGCTTAATCTTTTTAGGTTTAAAAAAGTACACAAATTATAAAATGAGAGTTGCAGCCTCTACGGCTATTGGAGAAAGTGCTTTGTCTGAAGAGAATGATGTTTTCGTGAGAACCCCTGAAGATGGTAAATACTTTGTTTGCAATGATGATTTGATTTCTTTATGGGAGCTTGCACTTCTTCGGAAGACTGGGCACATGCGTAAGGAGGGGAAGAAAGTGTACAAATAAAATCAATGTTTGTTGAAATTATTAGTCTCCTATCAGTCAGTGACTTCATTCAGACCATTTTTATGTAAGTGCTGGAAATAATTATGAAAGCTGCAGCATGACCAGCAATCAACTAATTTCAACTCTGATACTCAAATGGGAAGAAAGCTGCAGAGCTGAGGTTCCTTCACTGAAAACAGTGTGCCCCATCTAAACCATAATCTGTTATCTTTGGGACTCCAGCTTTTTTTAGTGTTATCATATGGAAATTAGGTTGGGTTTGAAGCATCTGGAAATGGTAGCTTTCAACAATTCAGAGGCCGTATTGCTGTCTATAAGCAGAGCTGCTGATAAAGTGAGGGTTTTTTATACTGAATGATGTTGTATGCAGTTGTTTTTGTACAGGTTTGAGGCTTTATTCATTTTAAGACCAATCAATAGTTTTAATATACGGTGTAATACTACCTTATGAAGATTTCTGGATCTTCCTTGCTTGCTTACAAGGCAGTCTCCACCCGCGAAGGCACAGGGGCAGTAGCTGGAGTTGCCACTGGTGTCTGCAAAGAGAACACGGAAATCTGATTTACAGAGCAGGGTACTGATTATTAAACCTTAATCTTTTCTCATTTGTATCAGGTTTATATTTTCACTGGTTTCAGCAAAGTTATTTACATTTTTTACCAAAGTAATAAAGAAGGTAATTGTCCAGTTGTCATTTATCTCTCTCATTGCCAAATATGCTACAATACAGGAAAAATAATTAAGTGGGAATAAAAGAGAATAAAAGAGAACAAAGGATTACAGAATTAATAATCATGGGGCTTTGTGAAGCTTAGATGATTTGAATAACCAATCAACTAAAATATCAAATTAAACAGTGAAACTTAAAGTGCTTGTAAATTTTTTTTAAAGGTTGCATGCTTCTACGCTGTTAGTTTTTTGCAGAGAAAAGGCATATCACAAGAACAGAAAATTAGCTATCTAAATATCTTTTTCTCTGAAAGTTTAGCATTCCTTGCCTTTGAGCATTACAGAAATTTGTTCAGAGTGGAGTTTCAGGCCAACAGTTCATCCATTGGTAAGACAATTTGGTAAGACATTGGTAAGACATTGTGCAAGCCTTGAGGAAACCATTGAGAAAACCACCAGTGATTCCTGCCTTTTTATAAGTATAATGTGTGTAATTACTCTTGTTGTCGTTGTCTTGTTCTTTAGTTTTCCTGGAGGTAATTCAGGTTGAGATTCGTGTCTCCTAACTTTAGCCAACCTAGGAGCGACAACTTGTTTGACTCTTGAGAAGACCGATACCTCCAAATAAAAGATTTACTACATCTGTCTTAGATAACTTACGTTAGGATGGAAGATACCAGGCTGTTGCATTTAAATATTTTATCATGACAGATAAATTGCAAAATGCATTTCAGTTGAAAATTAAGCTTCTTCACATGGGAAATATCCATGGGGGCAGTCTTGCAATCAGAGGGCAGTGATCTGTTACAGTTAACACTTTTCATTCACGGGCTCAGAAATCAGGAATGAAAGTGGTTTGTGAGACCTTTAGGACAAAAAAATTCATGATAAATTCTGAAATATCTGGATATAGGTATTTGCACACAAACTGAATCATATAATCCTGGGTTCTTAGTACATTTTTTAAAAATTTCATAGACAGGTTATTTCAGGGGTGAAGTGATGAAGCCTTCAGAAGAATCAAAGTTGAGATTCAGAGCTGATTTTATTCATAAGTGCAGCCCACTCACTCCTTCAACACTTCTGTGCCTTATTAGCTCACTGGAGTCACATGAATTCATACGTTACCAGTAGATTTAGCCAACACGCTACCCCGGAGCTGGACTTGCTTTGTGCTTGACCTTCACACCAGTGCATGCGAGATTTACACTGGGGTCTTCATGGTCATCAATTAGCAGCTGTATCAGTAAACTAAAGGGAATTTAGTTAGTGTGTACAGTCCCTTTCTTGGTTCAATGGTTGGTTGAGTGAAATAAGGTGTGTGGTTATTTAAGAAGAAAGCAGTGAAATGGCATTCAGCTAAATTTAAATAACTTGAATTTGAGGAAGACAGTGGGGCGATTTGAAGGATCAGTCTGCATGTAAGCAGTAGACAGAAGAGATTTTTCTTTTCTTAATAAATGCAGTTTTGGATAGATTTATAAGTGGATGAGAAAAGAAATTCCAAAAAGCTAAAGTGTCTGGGATACAATAAGATGCCTGGTTTTATGAGTGGAAAAGAAGACATACAGAAATTAACTGAGAGAAAAAGTGGTAAGGCTTTGAGAAGGAGAGTGACTGAGTGGGTGAGTAGCACTTTTCATACAGTTAGCTAATCTAAGTTTTAGGATCCAGTAGGTTTATGAGATCAGTCCTATATTCAATTGATTGACAGTCTCATTGGTTTTTTTTTCTCTTTGGTTTCTGTATTGCAGAACCAGACTCCCCACCCCAAAATGTAGAGTTAATAAATGTAACTGCAACAGAAATAAATCTGAGATGGTTACCACCTGAACAGCCTAATGGTCTCATAACTCACTATGAAGTTCTGTACAGTGATTCCAATGATTTATTTATTAAAAATGCCTCATCTACAAGTATATCACTAAGTGAAATGAAGCCATATACTCTCTACCACATCTCCATAAGGGCATTCACCAGACTTGGCCATGGGAATCAGTCATCTTTCCCACTTCTAGTGAGAACTTCTGAAACTGGTGAGTATACAGGTTTTTTTTAAAAAAAGTAAAATCAATTAAACTGATCTCCTGGGCATCAAATGTCACCATAAAGCAGTTGATTTTGGTGTATTTACAAGTATGTATTTGCTTTGCAAAGCAGTAACTTTGAACCCTGTTTTCTCCTTTGTATATAAAGCAAAAGTAAGGAAATAGTAAGGAAGATTAAGAAGTAAAAAAAACAATGGGAAGTTTTATGCCTGATGGACTTCATATATTTTACTATTTGTCCTTGAAGATTCCTTCTGTCTTGCAGGAAAATAATTTTTTGTAGGAAAGGAGGGGTTTCAAGAAGTGAGTGCAATTTGGAATTCAAGTTATCAACTGAAATTTTATAAGAATTCAATCCTAATGGTTAAAAAAATCAGAATTCACAGACGTGCTGTTTTGTAGCAGGCAAAGTTGTTTATTTTACTAGAAATGTTTTGGAGAAGGTACAGATAAAATAGCAGAGGATCAGAGTCGATGAAGTTTTTCTAAGAAAGGAAAGTAAATTTAGAAGTGAACAACATTAAAGAGGTGTAACAAGGCATAAGAAGAGACTTGAAATAAGTAAGTAGCTGTAAGGTAGGACAAGGAAGGGAAAAGAATATAAAATATCGACAGAGGGTCATTAAATTTGCAGTGGAGCTAAACAAGAGAGGTATTGGAGAACATACTGAGGGTAATGGTTTACATGGAGGAATAGATGTTTGGGTTAAGCTGTAAAGTCAGGAATGAGAGGTGGCTGGGGAGTCAGACACGAATTTGCTTTAGGACTCAGCCATATCCAGGTAGCACTGGTATGATGATCATCCTTTTCTGGGGGCCTTTTGCCATCTGCACCAATTTGCCACCTCAGATGACTGCCTATTTTATCTATACCTAGAGCTAGCCCTGGAACTAAGCATGCTGTTTATCACATTTTTCTCAGTAAGGAAAGACATGCACATACTGATGTCTCTCAGAAGGGGCAGGAAGATGCTCTGGCTCCTTGACTGTTAAGATACAGTGGAATCATTATAAGCTCCTTCTCCTCCTTGTTTCTGAAATGAACTTTTGATTTTTCCTGTGTGAAGTAGTTGTGGTCTAGGCCTGCCTAACAAGGCAAACTCTTAAGGAACAGGGAGGCAAACACCTAGTTTTTAGATTGCATGAAACAGTAGTCATAATAGAAGCACTAAGCTAGCTCTGCCAAGATGTTGTGCTACTTTTGAGGATTTTTTTTGGTCAGATACCATAGGTATGTAGGCACCTGCCCAACTGATACAATGTCCTTAGACATAACCTTTTTTATTGTTCTTTTTAACTTAGACATCCATCTTTTGTCTAAGTTGTATTTTAAGGCAGTTAGTTCTTTCTCAGTGCCTAACTCCCCTGATGCTCAGAACAAAAATTTGAATTCCAGCTGCCTGTGATAGAGATGAGTAGCTGCAAAAACATCTTCTGAGACGAGAAGAATAAAAACAAGGGAGGATCTGGAGGATAGAGCAGTTTGAGTGAAACACAACCTGTTAATGGGCTGGTGTATTTGAAGAGCTCTTAGGAGTTCTCTGTTGCTATTCTACTATGAAATCAGGCAGAATTGTGGGCTGATTTCACTGCCTCTCATGGCATTTATTCCCTTTCTGGATATTGCTTAAGCAGAAATTATTTATATTTTTGAATGTGGAGTTTCTTCAATGTCAGTGCATTTTGAAGAATGGTTAGGGCATCCTAAAGCGTACCCATGCCTTACTTGACCTTTTGGGCAAATAGTGCTGTCATAGTATAATTATGATTTTCTGGAATAAGGTATATTACGCTATCAGACCAATTTTGGATGATGGAAAACATCCTTGTGTATTTGTTTGGGGACAGACACACACATGCACACAAAAAACAATTGTCATGACACAGTAAGGGCCAGCTGCTCTGTAAGGGATGGGGAGCCAAGAGCTGAGGGGGTCCCTGGGCCAGCAGGGCAGGGGCCTCACTAGCCAGAACTTGTCCCACCAACCCCCAGTGAAGGGATCAGGGCATGTCTGGGGGTGGCAGCCAGGGGCAGCCCAGAGTCCAGATTGACAAACACTCCACGGTGACGAGGCAGGTCTGAGGTCGAGCCAGGACAGTGAGTTAGCAGGTTCAGTGACACTAACCAAGTCAGGCGCAGCCCTGTGACAGCTGGGCAGGTCTGTAGCGACGGGGCCAAGCTGAGGTCAGGCTGTGACATCAGGCTGCAAGTCAGGGACTAGATCAGTGGGTCCATGGCCAAGCACATGGCAGCGATGCAGCAGGAAACGTAGCTCAGACAGGGACAAAGCACGAGAGCCGCAGCTGCAAGCAGCTCCCAGAGGCCAGTGGTCAACCCTGGCTGCAGCCTCACCGCAGCGTTGCCTGGGAGCGCGTCACCAGCGAGGAGGAGGCAGCCCTCGGCGACACTATTGCTAAGCTGGCCCCGAGCCCCAGCAGCCAAACCTCCAGAAGCGGGGATGCTCTCAGGGCCCTTACAATAACTTAGGCTCCCTTTGTTTTTCCATACAAGTATTCATACACTTTGTATAGATCACCCAGGGAAAAGGAAGAAAACACAGGTTGCTGATACAAAGTGTAAATTATGGCAGTACAACATGGAAAATCTCCTAACAATAGCTAACTTGGAGGATTGCAGTGATAGTTATGGGGTGTTAGAAGGGAAGTTCAGTGTCATGCTCCAGATATTTTTATCTGGCATGTTAAGGTGATTTCCATCAATTTATTTTTTTTTTAAAGAATGACCCATACCTTGTTATAGTGTGTGTCTGTCATGTGTTTTTGATCTTCCAATTCAGTCTCTTTTAAAATTTATTTTGTACAATAAACAGGATAAAAATAAAAATGTTTACAATTAGTTTAATTTAAACCAGTTTAAGAAAATGCTTAACAAATCAATGAAACTGATTGGAATCTCCTATGAGCGTGAATTTTGTCTTCTAGTTCCTGATTCTGCGCCAGAAAACATAACTTATAGGAACATCTCATCCATGGAAATTGAATTATCATTTTTTCCACCATCCATTCCCAATGGAATCATACAGACCTACACAATATATCTCAAGAGGACTAATGGAACCGAGCAGAGAGTCATAAACACTACTCTTTTGACACTACGTATTACAGGCCAGTATATAATGATCTGGAACTTATGGCAACTGTAAATTGTTCTGAGAAGGGATCAGCAGACTGATGCAGATCAATTAGTTCATTGGTTGGACATGATCATTCTTGTCCTTACATAAAGTTATGTGCTGCCTGTCCTGAGAAGTAGCCTGTTGTGTCTTGCAGTAATGTGGTGGAATGGGCCACAAGTGGTATGAAGTCTAACATATATCTCATTGTATTTAAATGTTTAAAGTAAAAGGAACTTCAATAGATTTCTTTGCATACCTATCATCATAACAAAGTAAACATTGAAGTCACCTACATATTTTCTGATTTTATTCTGGATAAAAATAAGTACTTCCCTTTCCACTCACCTTTGCATCTTTTTCTATGTTCTGTCATTATTACTGAGGAATGACACAGCAGTTAATGCTGGGAGCTCTGTACCTTAACCAGTAAATTTTCAGAGCACAGCCAAGGACAAACTGTAAAACATTCTAGGAATATGAAGTATAAACTGGTAATCAGGGCTTTGCCCCTTCTTTTGTTCACGAAGAATACTTTGTGTTTGAGTTTTCCTGATGCTTATTTCAGTCTCTGAAGGCACAGATCAGTGTAAGTGATGGGCCTATTCAGCACTTCAGAACTACTTACAGTCCATTAAATACCTCATTTGGCCCACTGAATGGTTGGTTTACTGAATTCTTATTCTTTGTTTAGATTTAAAGAAATATACAAGATATACTGTAGAAGTGTCTGCTAGTACCACAATGGGGGAGGGCCTTCGTAGTGCCCCTCTGCCTATACTGACTGATGAAGATGGTAAGTCAGAACAGAAGTTGCAATGTATCGCTGTCTGCCTGTAGTGTTAAACTAATCTCACACTTCCTGTCAGATACATGTAAGTTTTTATGTATTTAGGGGGGGTTTTTTGCAATTATATCTCTGTGTTGATAAGTGTATCTATCTATCTACACACAAACATACATATCTATCTATCTGTCCGTCTGTTATTTAATATATTTATCAGGACAAGCTATATGAAAGGACACAATTGCTGTGCATGGACATTTGGTCTTACCAATCTCTTATGAATTTGAAAAATCTTAATTTACTAATATTATTTTAATTTAATACCCCACATGGTAGAATTAAATGTTGTGTTTTGTTCTGCAGGCATGTGAGAGATGGAGAAAGGGAAAACCACCAAAAGGCAGCTTGAATGGCCCAGGGACATTTCTGGTTCTTTTGTCTGGAGATTTTTTGATTCTTCTAAACAGATGCATGTACAGATACATTATAGATGTAAAATTATTAATATAATGAAAATGCTTGAAGTCCATCTGTAGTACTGGACTTCCAAATTGAGCAGAGCAGTGTTCTGCACTTTAGGCTGAGGGTAGAACACAGTCATTGCATCCTCTGCTAATTAGTACAATAGGTCACAAATCAGCAGAGGAACTTTAAAATGACATTTGTACCCAATTTAGTTGTAGGAAGTTATCATTGGTCCCCTCTATAGTTTCTGGAGTGGGAATTGTGGAAAAAAAATTCAAAGCAGAATCTTAACTTAGGTGCTGTGAATCACATTTTGGAAGAACCTGTGTCTGTCCCTCTCCATTGCTTAGGGAGGAAGTCTCTGGGAACCTAGACTAAAGTGGCATTGACACAAACATCCCACCAGCCATTCCCAAATTAAGTCTCTTTTCATGTCTTAGAGAGCACTGACTTGGCTAAGATCCAACTTTTGATGGTAATGGATCTTTGCAAATCTCCAAGATGTTGATGGGCTTACATTCACACTGTCAGTAATAAACCTTTGCTCAAGAGTAATGTTGCTGGAGCACACTGAGAACAGCTAATTTGGATAAATCCATCTTTTGCATAGAGTATTTTTATTTAGAGCAATGTAGACTTTATTCTTCAGCAAAAAATACCCTCTCAGTAAGAACTGTAGAATGAAGTAGACATGCCAAAAAGACATGACATTCACAGTGTGACAGATCTTTTATTATAGAGCCACTAAGGATAATATAACAAGTAAAACACTAAATACAGCTGTCACCCTTTTTCACTAGTAAATACAGACATTCACTGAAGTCAGTGAACCTTTGTTCATGAAAAATATTTTTTTTCTTAAATGTACAGAGTTCTAAAACCTTTATGCCAACTTTTGAGATAGTGAAAGAAGAAACAACAACTGAAAAACAACAATATTTATAATACACCACATGTTCTTTATTCACTGGAACACAGTGTTCCAAGGTTCAGAGCAAATATTTCGTAGATTTGCTAATAGCTATGCTCATATTCTCAATTTTCATGCATGACTACAGCTATGACCTGAATTTTTAGTGCATGATGCTTTTTGGTTTAATTTGAGAAAAACAAAAATAATTCTAATATTACTTCATAGTGATACATATATCCATGAATCAAGACGAAGAAAAAGATTCACTTCTCAATAACGTGCTAATGCAAAGCAGCATCACTTATACATACGTGGGTATATTTTTCCTCAGCAATATTTATGTGAACTTTAGAATGAAATCAAACATGATCTAACACTTTCATTTACTTACGTTGTATCCCTACACAGTTGTGATATGGTGTCATGTAGAGTTCGTCTTGAAATGCATTTTAAGGGTCTCAGTTAATGCCTATCTTTATATTTGCCCTTGGGACATGTTAAATGTATGAATGTGGTCCTTATTTGAGGGAGTGAATAGATTTTACTGCTAACTAGTATCCCACATTTTTATCATCTCTCAATGCCATGCTTATCCATTTTTCCAACCTTTTGGTGCTTTGTGTAATTCTTTGCAGCACCTCTTTTTCCTCAGGGGAACTATTTTGCTATATTTTACATGTGTTCATACCTATAAAGCTCTTGCTTTTATTAAAGGGGAAAAAAAAATTACAGCAATGTACTTGGACAGTAGGTGAATCACTGTGACCTACCGGTTGCTCTGTTTTCTCATGAAGTACTTTTTCCATTGAATCACAGAAACAGATGTTCTAACACCACCATGCAAAATCTTCTTTTATCATCTGTCAGAAAAAGGAAAAGAAGCTGCGCCTTAACATTAGTTGATGGATGCTGTACCGGTGTAGTACAAAGTTCACTTTCCATCACAAATAATTAAAAACCTATTTAAGGATGCTGCGTATCCCATCGATCTTAGCTGTTTAACAAGATGTTGTGTCCTGTTCTCTCATTTTATAGCTCCGAGTTCTCCTCCAGAATCTCTCTCTGTAAAACAGTTGTCGGGTGTCACTGTGAAGTTGTCATGGAAACCTCCGCTGGAGCCAAATGGAATTATCCTCTATTACACAGTTTACGTCTGGTAAGATTTTCTGGAAGTAGTTCTGAGGATAAATATTAATCTGTAACCTATCAGGAATGTTAGGTTTTTCTTACACAATATGTTGATTACATGTTTTTGGAGAACAAATATTCATCTAGCACTTAAAATACTAGCCTTTTGTATATACAAATTCAGATATAATGTAGTAGCTGAAAATTGGGGTGTTAAATATTTTGTAAGCATTTTCAACATTTTTCTAAAGGTTATGTTATGGTAAATGAATTTAAATTAGAGCATGGTGACTATTTTCGTTATATTCTGATTAGGCCTATTGTAAGGCAGGGCACAAGCCTATGGTAAATTGTCAAGGAGATTTGAAATAGGCTTAAAATAGAGAAATATTGCTTCCTTTTGTAGAAAGCGTGTAAGACCAATGTTAAGAGTCTCTGTACGTGCTATCAGTTATGTCTACTGTTATATTTTGTATTTATTATATTCATAGCAAACAAGTATTTTTTAACAGATATTTTTCATTTACTGTGGGTGTGGTTTTTTTTTTTTTTCCCTGTCTACCCTTTCTCTGTCATCCCTCCTCATATCTTTTTTCACCTTTAAAAAGGAGTTTTGTCACTTTAAAAATTGCACCCTCTGTCCTATTCTCTGCATAACATAGTTTGGTCTAGTGATGTGGCATCTCTTCGAAGATCGATGTATAACTTCTACAGGGAGTGAAAAGATTTTGTCACTTTTAATACATTGCATTTATGCTGTACCATTTTATTCCCACTACTAAGGTGCAGGAAGCAAATGCTAACATGAACCTTATGACATGTGATCCAGATATGCAAATCAGCAGTCATTATAAACATACTACTACTGAGATTAGATTTATTATTTTGATGTTAATTAACAGTTTTGGGGTAGGGTTTGGCCTCAGTTCCTGTTGAATTGTTTTTTAATTATAGGTTCTAGTTAAGTTGGTGATAAAGTGGACAGGAGTGAGCTCTTCTTTCCAGAAAAGTTAAATTTGGTTTGTCTTGTTACTTCTACCATTTTGGCAAGGTCTGGTGCTCTTTAACCACAAAACCCATTAAGTTAAAGACTATCCTCTAGTTAGGAAAGTTACTTCGCAATAAGGATTATGGTTTTGATACAGGCTGTGTTCAAAGACTTGAGGTTATACAACTTTTCATCCTTATATTGCCTTAAAGCTTACTGCTTTTGCTATGACAAATGAGTTATTAAGAATTATTTTTTTAAAAACTGTTAATTGATCCATCTTTCTAAATATTTCAATTAAGCAACCACATAACTTTTTGCAGTAAGCCTTGTACTTTTTCCTTCTGTATTCTCCTTGCTCTGTCTTATCTGTCCTTACTGTGCCATATCTAAAATTAGAGAGGCATTAGGTATCATCTTGAGGCAAGGACATTGGAGAAAAACTCCCGTTGCCTTTGAAGGGGCCACAACTTCACTCCTTCCCTGGAGGCTGGGGTTTTTTTTTGGGGGGGGGGAGGGGACGGGGGGGAGGAGGAGAGTTTTAAGTATTTAACAGAATTGTCTATACAATTTCATGAAATGCATTGCAGAGTGAGATTTGACAAGGCAAACTGCTGTGCCATAGTTGCTGCTTTTGGGAAGCGTTCAATGTATTTTGGGCGAGATTGTTAATCCCAGAGCTTCTCAATAAAGCAGGACGAGGAGGGTTAATACAGATGTTAAATAAACGTTCCTTCTCTTAAATATATTGGAACAGTCAACAGAGAATTTGGTAACCTACCTTTAATGGATTGGGAACAAGAATCCACAACTACTAGGGTAATATCTGTAATGTTTTCATTGTTGTTATCTTTCATGGATTTTTTCACAGGACAAGGTGGTTTTGGGTGTTAACAGGTAAAAAGCAACTTTCTGCGTGCCTTGAGTCTACAAACGCATACTCCCCAAGTTTGCAATTCTGGAGTATTAAAGCCATATTAACAAAATTTCTGAACTTGTATGTAGCTGTTGTCTTTTGGCATTATCCTGTTCAGCAATTTTTTGTGAGATAATTACTGACTAGATCTACTTTGAGGTACAGAGTTTTGAGAAAATATGGTACCTGTCTTTGTCAAATGAAAGTATGCAATTTCTTAGAACCTCTTTTGTCTGGGTTTCTGAAAGATCTCATTTAAAACTTAATATTATTGTTCCTCATTAAAATTTCTTGGCTTAGTTTATTCTGCTAGGTACTTTCTTTCTGATTGACTGTGAAGACTGCACTCACTTTGATCATTGTTTTCTTGTTATTTTGATTGCAATCTTAGTTGTTTCCAAACAGAAAAACAACTTTTCTTGAAACACCCCAAGCTTTTGTTCTTCTTCCTATGCCTGATTGTGAAATGTTTTTTGGCAAATAAGATGTTACAAGAATGCAATTACTCAGACTAGAAGTGTTTGCAGCACTAAGCTGTGGATTTTCTTTTTACTTAAATTATAACCAGCTACGTTTTTCCATACTAAGAATATATTGGGCAAAGATCCAAGAAAAGATGTCTTTTCTTTGTATAGAATTTGATAACTGCAGCTGCAACCTTTTGTATCTCTTTACTGACTATTCAAAATGTCAGAAGTTTGGGAAAAATGTAAATGTTGTTAACTTTCTCTGTTACCAAGAGCGTTTCCCATGTCAAGAGACATTCCACTCAAAATCTCAAAGGGATAGGGAGAATTTAGTTTTTTCATTCTCATACATTTTCTCATTCCAATTGTTTGTTAATGTAACTTTATTTCAGGAGTATCAGATGGTGATCTTTGCTAATGGGATATTCATTCATTTATCAAGGGATGAAAACCAGCCCATCTAATAATTTTGAATCAGCCAATCAGCCTTTCCTTTTTTTTTTTTTTTTTTTTTTTTCCTTTTAATATTAGAACTCATTCACTTGTTTGTGAAGAGCTCCACAGTGACTCCTGGGGCAAGATATTTGGTTTTACTTGTCAAATTATCATCCCTATATGAAATCCCATTAAAGACACAGGGCATCCACTCATACAGAAACCTTTGCAGGGATGGAATGTTAGCTAGCTTTGTTTCCTGCTATTTTTTTCATAAAAGATTAAAGTAATTTAATGAGGAATAGCAGACTTTTTGAATTCAAGTTAGCTATTTCTGTATCTTATTTTACTTTCGATAATCATTTCATACCTATGCTAATACCAGCGTTTTATTAATGTTACATCTTACAGTCTTTCTAGGCGGGTTTTGACCTGACTAGAGTTCCATTCTGATCCCCTGCTACATTCCACCAGAATTAACTCAGCACCAGCTAATTCCTGTTCCATATCATCTTCTGTTATTCCATTTATAACTTCAGCCTTCTGACCAATTTCACAGAGTCACAGTAGGGCATGCTCCCTGCTATAATCTTTTTATATTTCGCTATTCCTGTCCAGGGAGACAGTTTAGTTATGCCCTACTGTGTCCTTCCCAAGGGTACCACATAACCATTTGATAGCAGTTACTAGATGGACATGCTCCTCCTTGATATTCCATATAATCATTGTCTTTGCTGATGTAATTTATAAACATATTTCTATGGGTTTGGTTTTTTTTTTTAAAAAAGGAAAATTAAGAGCCCTATTGTGATGTAACAGTACAAAAGTGAGCTTTTCAACATAAAAGATAAAAGTTATCTCAGTCTTCTTTTAAAGCCTAAAATATTTGTATTTACTACAATATTGCATTTTGCAATTTTATATTGTATGCCACAGTTGTATACATACAGAAACGGTATGTATCTATAATTAATAAAATACTTTTTCTTTAGGAATAAAATGTCAAAAAGGATTGTTAATGTAACAGAAACGTCATTGCAGTTCACAGACCTGGAAAATAACTATGAGTATAGTGCTTACCTAACAGCAAGTACAAGATTTGGGGATGGCAACATAAAAAGTGATACTATAACATTCAGAACTTCTGAAGGAGGTAAGCTTATATATAGTATGAATTTTAATTTCATTCAGCCTTAAATTTCTGTCAGCCTTATTTAAGTTAATAAAGCTGCTGAAGTAGAAGTGGCATTTGACTGGTCAAGAAGAGACATTCTACCTGTCCATGTGTGCCTCTGTCTTTGTGTGTACACGTATCTATGACTCTATAAAATTATGATGGGTATTTCTGTGAATTTACTGAGCAAAACTTTGCATTTCCCTTCAAGACAGGTAAGATTAAAATAATTTAATTTTAAATTTTGAAATAAATCAAATTAATTTTAGAATATATTTTAATAGCTCTTTGCTTTATCTTGCTGTGACAACTTCTGATAGGGAAAATACTCTTTAGAGTCTCTCTGGCAAGTCTGAAATGGTTTTAATTTGAAAATGAAATCTGTAAGTGTACACAGAGTTGTTTATTCTAGTTTAATGATTTTATACTTCCAACATGGAAGTATATATCTATATATATCCATATAAATGATCGTACTATATACTGTGCTTTGAAAGTCATGCAGTTTATTGTTTCTGGTTTTCCCATCAATTATTGCTACGATATTTTCCAAAATGGATAGTGCACAGGCATATTTCGGGATCATCCTGCATAGAATAACTGACTTCCCAACACACAATACTGGCAGGATTAGCATCTGTCCAAGCCATCCCTCAAAAGACTGTCTAAATCACCAGGTTGTAGGTATTCCCAGTCTTTGCTATTGAAGCTGTTATGGAAACATGAACTGACTTTTTGGGGCAGGATTTTTAGGAACTGATCCTGGAGTTCCCCCTCCAATTAATATTTTAGTATTTTATACAAACTAGAACAGCACAAAGCAAGAGAGATAAGATAACTTACAGTGTTCAGTACTCTACTGCACTTGTGTAGAGCACTTTCTTGGATGGCAAGAAATATGGATTTAAATTCTCTTAAGCTGACTTCAGGAACTGAATTTGAGTCTCGTACATCACTGTGCTACTGAGAAGGACCGTATGCTGCTATTCTTTACAGGATAGGAGGAGAAGCTAATTGAAGAAGATTTAGAGTCTTTCCTGCACATTTAATAGGCTGAGGAAAGAGGAAAAACCAGAAATGATCATACTGTCCAAGCTTAGGTATCTGGTTTACTTATGTGAGTTGGGAGCCTAAATTCTGTTTATAATCAGCAAAGAGAGAACAAGGCTTTTAATTTAGGTCTTCTGAAACAAATCCTTTTTTTTTCCTATTAACTATATATGGAGCGTAGAGGCCCGACTCAGTCAACTTCCATGTCAGCAGATTAGACCTCCCATGTGCCCAAACCAGGGATAAATTCTGTAAGAAAAGAGCATCTGTTTACACATGCAGCTAAATACAAATGTGTCTGAAAAAGTAGGGTTTTAAAAATTTGTTTATATCTACTATTTTATTTCATCATTTTCAGAAGCAGTTTTTATACCACAACTGGAAATACATTTAATTTGACATAGGATGTTGTCAAACCTATAGTGGATGTTTCTTGGGCACTAAACTGTACAAAACCTTGAGTTAGGTGTGCTAAAACTTAACATTTTTCCAGCACCAAGTGATCCACCGAAAGATGTTGTGTACAGAAACCTTACTTCCACATCAATAATGCTATTCTGGTCTTCTCCTCAAAAGCCTAATGGAAATATACTGTACTACTCAGTTTATTTCAAAAATAATTCAGGAATATTCATACAGGTAAGCTTATTTTTATATTTTTCTTTTGTAGAATTCAAGTGTTCTAATAATCCGTTAAAGAGTAAATCAATTTTATAGTTATCAATATATTGTTTTTTCATACTTCCTTTATCACAAGGCAGTTTTTTAACTTACAAAGACAGAAGCACATCTTGTAATCATATGTGTTGCATTGTGCATCTCATTGGACATTCATATCATTAAGCATTAAAGCAAAAAGGTTTTGTGTAATATTCCATATTTCAAAGTTTATATGTACATGTATGTACACACACATACATGTAATACATATATACGCATAACATATGTAGATAGATAAACACAAGACCCATTACATTCATTGGACATCCCTAAGACAGTTTTAGCCTAGTCTATCACTTTGAATAATTTTCTGTAACAGTTCTGTTTTTACTTTTTAACTTTTTACTTTTTAATGCATGTTTTTACAGTACTGAAAATAAGAAGATAATGTCAAAGTCATGAATACGTTATTTCATATTTTTGTTACTCTCAAAAGGAAATTACTGTTTAGTATATTGAAACAAAGATACTGAGATTCCTAAGTTAAAGCATAAAAGACAAATAAAATGTTATTTAGAATTGTTTGGTGATCCACATATTTCCATGTAGGTTTTTTTTTGTTGTTGCTACTTTTATCCTTAAGTATGCACCACATTTATTAATTGCATATGTAGTTTTTCTGTTCGCCTTTCTAAGAATATATTACGATACAGACATATAAGAAGAAGAAATAAGCTTCCTTTACAGGTTTTTGCTTACAAGCTTTACACATGTGGAAGAAAAGAAAGAAATATAAATTAATGAAGAAAGTAATGCATGAAAAATTACTGCTACTGCATAACTTTATGCTAAAGATATGTCTAGTATGAGGTATGCATGTGTTTGAGGATGAGTAGAAAAAAATATTCACAAATTTTACAAATACCTGTGACTGAATAATTGCTGACATACTTCAGTGCATACACTTCTCTGACTTCTGTGAAGCTGTGTGGTTGCCAGGCTCTGTCTGCATAGTTTCAGATGCACTCAGGACTGTGCCATGAATTCACATTCTGATGAGATTAAAATCAGGGCTACAGTTCAGAGCTTCAGCCTCTGCTTGCACACACTGCTATACCAACAGCATTTTTCTTCGCCTAACAAATCCATGGAGAAACGTTTACACCAGTGCGTTACCTGAACTAGCCCTTCCTATGAAGAGTGTCTACATTTATCTAATTCTTGGACAGCTCAAGCGATTTTAGAGGAGGACTATGGACTTGGGCTATTCCTGCCTTTAGGAGGGTGGAACTCTGAGGTGAATGAGTAAAATGAAACTGGTACACTGAGAGCTATAATCCTGCTGGATGTGCCCAGGACTCTGGAAATGAAGGAGCAAGATAGGGAAGATGGAGCGCAGTAGCATTGGCCCAGCAAGGTGAGGGTCCAGTTTCATTATCGCATGATGTAGTTGGGCAAGCACAGGATGATGGCATGAGTGGAAGTTACCGCTGCTTTAGCATATTATGTGGTGGATGGCAGAAAAGCGCTGACAGTAGCTCCACTTCTACGTGTGGAAACTACCATTTTCACCCTTTCAGCTTTGATTTTTAACCCATCCCTCTGCAGAAAGCTATGAGAAGATAGGTTTCAGCTGCTGTTGCATCTGTCTCTTACTGGCCATGGGAGATCACCATTAATCTCTCAAATCATGATCCACTCCTAATCTGTCTGCTTCCCTTAACTCCCTCTGCCCTCCATTTGCCTCTCTGTTCACTATTTGGCATGGCAACTACTGTATCTACATTGCACTCCTATTCTGTACCTTGGCATTCCTGTGGGTGCAAGACAGATTTCAAACAGGACAAAAAAACAACTCTCCCCTGCTCCCTTCTGTCAAATATTTTATATTACTCTTTTTACAGCAGAGAAATGCATGTTTGAAAGCCAGCCTGATAAGTATGTATATATATCATATATATATATGAGACATATACAGACACTTGTAATCTATATGAGTGTATGCACACATACAGCTTACAACTATCGGTAACCTAAAAGTATAACCATATAGTTGCAGGGTCTCTTGATAAGTTTTGTACTGCACACATTTGGAAAGAAATAATCCTTGGCTGGATGTTTCTGCATCTAGGACACCATTCTGCTTATGTTTATACAAACTGTATTTTCAGTTTGGGAAATGATATAGGAGAACTAAAGAAGTAGATGATCTTTTCACATTCACAGGAACCCCACCTGCTTAGACACTCTGCTGTAGGCAGCCATTCTCTGCCAGTCTTTCATCTGCTTCTTTGTCAGGACATAACAGAGGTCCAAGTCAAAGTGTATCTTCTAGATGCCTGAAAAAATGTCCCAGCTGAAGTATCTGAAGTATCTCAAGCAAATTAACATCTTCCAATGCTGTCATACTCTGAAATAGATATAAAAGTCATACTAAAACTACTACTATTCTGTTGTCTCAAATTCTTGCCTCTCCTCACACATTCTCAAACTCCTCAGGCATATTAAAGCCCAATGAGTATAAAGCACTGATTACAAACAGCAGTCTTAAAAGCAGGAAATCAGTAGCTGCAGAGTAAAGCATCTTGTTTCAGGGGAAAAAAGCAAAAGACCTGAGATAAAGGATGCAGTTTGCTGCTTGACATGATGCAGAAACTTGCAAAAAAATAGTTTTCCTTTAAAAAGAAAAACAAAAAAGTTACATACCTTCATAGGGCAGAAAAATAACATATAGTTTCTTTGCTTTGCAGGTCTACGTGAAAAATGATGCTGCGGCTGTCCAATCAGAAGGCCTGCGATGCTCAGACCTAGGATTCAGCACCAGAACAGCAGAAGGAAAAATTTAGTGATGGAGATTAGATTTGAGGATTTTGGTATACGAGTGGGCTGTTTCTATGGGGATGCTGACAGGTTGTAAAAGAAAAAGTGTCAGAGACGGAGGAATGACTGGTAGCCAAATAGAAGAAACCATCACTTGCACCAGGCTAGACTGAAGTCCAGTTTTCTCTTTCATCTTCTACTGCCATAGGTCTAGGGAGAATTCTACTTTTTGGTTTACGTTCACTGCTCTGTCCCAGTGCAGTAAAGATAGGACATATTCTGACCAAGAGCACTTCCTACACAGATGACATGGCACTGTACCTCTTGTTCACATCATTTCTCTGTGATGCTGCTGGATTCCTACAGTTTGAGCTTTCACTATTTGCAATAGCAGCTTTGCAAATTTTGCTCTGTGGTTTCCTTACATGACGCTTGAAGTGATCATACTGCCCACATTCTCAGTCTTACCAAGGAAAGGAGTCAAAGAATCTATGGAAGTAATTGTCTCATTGCTAAATACTGATCTATAAGAGATATCACTGACTTGAATAAACTCTTTTATTCAATCTTTCTATACTTGTGTTTTGATTAGCAAGAAAGCGGGAAAGGTGCTAATTACAAATATAAATTTATGCTTGGAGAAAGTTCTCCAGTATCGGAATTTCAGTACAGATGACAACTGTCCTGCTCTGCCAAACCAGACAGGGGAACCAGGAGCTAGTAGAGAAAAAAAGCCCACCACCCTTCTAGAGACTGAACATTAGATCCCAAATCATCCAACTGCTGTACTTCAAGCTAACCTAAGTGACCATGACTGGATACAGTTCAGAGTGAAATTCACCTTGGTCTGCCCTTGGGATGCAGATGAGGGATGCAAGCAATGTGCTATATTAACTTAACAATCAAACATTTTCTTTCACCAGTATGACCAAAAGAGGGATAAAAGGGGAACTTCCCTAAAATACACTGCAATTTTTTTAAAAGATGGCCTCAGAATGGTACAGCACACAAAAAGGAAATATCTTCACTTTGGTTGGTACTGGAACAGTGTGTATTACGCTCCTTGAGGGATGGCTTGGATTAGCCCTCAGTGTCACCACTCTCACCTGATTGCCAGAGTCAAGTATGTGATACTCTAACTCAGAACAACAGTGCAATATGATGAACCTAAAGAAGGAAACAGAATGGGTGGAAAAAGGTTAACAGTGAAGAACAGCAGCACTGTGTTGTCTGTATACAACTAATTACAGCTTTATGCCACTGGAAATTTCTGCTGCTTCCTGGGGTGAAGAAGATACTACTTTCTGCTGACATTTCATGGCCTGTGTGTATTGCTTACACTTAGCTGCTTTTAATAATCTGATACTTTGCTATGTCAAAACTTCTTTCATGTATGGATGAAGAAAGGGACAGAAGGAATAATTTCTTCAGCTGTAGCCAAAGATTCTAAGCCATTTGCTTTCATCTGCAGCCACAGTTAATTGTAAAACTTCCTATAGTCTTCTATCCCCAGGGTACAATTAGTGCAAGTTTCATCTTTGCTCAGTTTGTACCCACACAGTTCTTCCTGCTCACCCTTACTCTTAATTATGTGTTCATTCTTTTCTAATATTTTATCAGAAGTTTGAGGTAGTCTCCAGTCCTTGGGCTCCTGATAGTAAGGGGACTACCTCTTAAGACAGTTTTTGCTGAACCACCAAAAAGCCTGTTGTTGTAATATTCGTGTTGGTTCACTGAGTCCTTAGCTTCCAGGCAGCTGACTAAATGGTAAAGGTATGCTTTTTGAACTAAGAGTTGGATTTTCAGCTGTTTATACCAATAAACTCCCATTAAATCTAGAATCAGAACTTGATTTGGTACCTTTGACATTTTTACCTGGAAAACTCAGAGAGTTATTTAAGGTCCTTTTTTTTTGATCTTATTATTAGATAATATTATTATCAATTAAAATTATTATTAATTACAATAACTAATAATAATAACAGGAGGTTAGCAGAATGATGCTTCTGTGTCAGAAGGTATTTTCTGTCATACTGTGTTTGAGCATCAGAGAGTTTAATTAAATACCTTAGAATTCAGTCCTCTATTTCCTGTATCTTACCCTACCCAAGTGAAAAGCAAAGCTCTTCCCAGCCTTTTTCAGTTAGTTAGGTGAAGATAGGATGAGCTTTCATCTGCATTTAGAAGAAAGTAATATATTCAGGTGGAATGTCTTCATATTTTGACTGATGTTGACTTAACCTAATCTTTCAGACAAACCTAACAGTGTGCCCTAAGTCTGTTAATAGGAGCGGATATAGAAATTTATACTGCCAATTTATGCAGCTTCTGTTCTGCATTCAAAACAAAGGCTTACATTTTCATTGCCAAACAAACAGTTTACTTATTTATGTTATGTTAGCACTAGTGACTGTAGGCAAAACTAGGTCTTCAGATATTGGTATAAAAATCTCAGAGAAATGAATGAGAGTGTCACCTATTGTTTTCTGCTGAAATAAAATAATTTTGCCTGTACAAAAAAATTGGTGAGGTGTTAGATTAGATAAATAAATTGGTACGTATTGGTGGCAGACATCAAGACTGCATACTGAACTATCAATTTGCACAGTACTGACTCAACTGTTTGGTAGAGTGTATCATAGTGACTTCAGTAGGAACTTTCAAGAGAAATATAACCCATTTTTTAGTATGTGGTTTTAGTATGCCTGTTTATATGCGGTATTTCTGAATTTAAACATGGAAACGTTACAGTCACCTTCCTCCTGTTTTACTAAGTCTGCTATCACAGCCTCTCTTTTTTAGGAAAGCATTTAATTTAAAGCCAGCTTTGATTTTAAGGAGCTGGAGGGTGCGAATAAGAGGTAACACCGGAAATCGTGGGCAGGCCAAATAACTGGAATGTGTACTAGGCAATTCATCAGGGCGTTGGGCAAAATCCAGCTCACCATGAAAATGTTGCTATGTAATAAAATTAAGAGGACTTCTTTGGTCCTCAGAAATGCTGCCCATGCCACCTGCTCAACTGGGCAATGTGGGTGCTGGAGAGGAATGATACTGAGTCTTCGAATCAGGAGCAAAGCTTTGACTTCCTACCCAGTGCTGGAGCTGAATATGCTTATGTGTGTACATGACCCCTCAACAGTTTTCAAATCATGAACCAAACTGCTTTGGATCATCTAAGTCAGGTTCCTGTGAAGCAGTGGGTGATTTGACACATTCAGTTATGTCATATAGCTGACCTTATGTAAATAATCTGATTTATATTTTTTTCTTTTCAGTTTCCAAAATGGTTCATTCCAAACAGGAATTGCCTCCTCACAGGGGCTGATCTAGAGCACTAACCTACTGCAACAGTCACAGTTTTAGTGCAATTTTTTATATAGTTCAAAAGAAAGTGGCACTTGATTCTGGTGTAATCCTTTTTTTAGCAAGTAACTGCACAAGGAAAAGAAATTCTGTCAGTTCCTTCAGTTCAATGCAGTCCACTGCGTATAGACATTTGCATTAGAAGCAATGGCATGTTTTTAATGAAAAGGACAACTAACAAAAGGCACAGTTTATCAAGTGTTGCAGTGAGATCTCTGCCACTCGAAGTTTTAAATTCAAAATCAGACAATTTGCTGTACTTTCATAAAAATGGAATAAAGTGAGAGAAGTCCTTTGATTTGCTTCATACAGATCAGGCAAGGCAATCACATGTGTGATCATGTAATCATTGAACAATTAGCAGATGATACTTTTTTGTCATTTTCTTATGCAATATGGATAAACACATTGCAATATTACAGATTTAATGTGTTCTAAAAAAGGTGGATTGGTATTCAACAACTACATGCAACAAGAGGAGTCAATTAGGTACTCTGTAGTACTTACAAGGAGTAACAATAGACATCAAACAACAAATTACTGGAGTATTTCAGTAAAAATCAGGACTCATTAGGAGTCAAAGTGTAGGTTTATGTCTCCTGAACACTATGTTGTTGGTGGTGATGGCTAATGGGAAACTAGAAAGAGAAATCAATTAATAAATAAAATTTTCAATGACAACACTTTTTTTTTCCTTTAGAATTTCACAAGTTATGGTAACGACAGCGATGTCAGTATGCCTCAGTCTGCAGTTCTGGATGACTTGGCAAAATACAGCCATTATACTCTATGGATAACTGCAAGCACAGCTTTTGGAGATGGAAACAAAACCAGTGAAATAATAGACGTGTATACAGATCAGGATAGTAAGTTAATAACTTTTCTAGTGCTCAGTGTATATCAGTGCTTCCATTTATTAAATACTCTCTAACTTTAAAAATATTTTACTGTTACGATGGCAAAGTTAAAAAAAATCCAGTAAGTACTGTTTTCAACACTGCGGCATTTTTGTTTGCAAGGAAGACATTTTAATCTGAGTCTTTGCTTTGTAATACTAAGAACATAGTTCACAAGCTTCTTCTTTGGGTACAAGTGATAAAAATATTGTCTTAAACCATCATTAAGACTCTTTTGTTAAACAAATTTAACATAGATGATTATTCATGTGTGCCTTCGAAATATTTTGCTCTTGATAGTGAAACATAAATGATTTTTAAAGGTTGTACAAAATATTATAAATTATATTTACAGACTAATCATACTTTCAGCATTTATTTATGTTTTGGTTTTGGATGCTTTATTACTGTAATCCATGCATTTCTTTTTTGCTTATTATTTCTCTTAGTCCCAGATGGTTCTGTTGAAAATCTGGTCTATCAAAACATTTCCTCATCTTCTGTAAATGTAAGCTGGCTTCCACCATCCCAACCAAACGGCTTAGTCTTCTTTCATGTTTCTCTAAGTTTGTTGCAACTGGGAACCAATAAGATACTGTCTTTCCTTACTTACAACACAAGCATAGTTTTTGACAATCTGGAGAAATATACTGATTACATTCTGCAAATCACACCCGCCACTGATAAAGGATCTTCTGAACTGCATGCTCTGAGTCTGCATATAAGAACTGATGAAGATGGTAAGATAAGTATATTTTATTCATTCCTAAGGAAGTATAGAAAAAAACCCAAATAGCTTTCTAAAAAAAAAAAAAGATTATTGTGTTTATTTTTCTCATGTTACTTAAAGCTTTTTTGTTATACAATGACACAAACAACTGCTAGACATTTCTGTGTTGAGACCATGAAATAGAATTTTTCCACTCAGAACACAATTTTAACTGATAGCTAAAAGACATTTTTCATTGTAACTCATATTTTTCTGAGGTTATCCTTGTTTTTCTCTTTCTTATTTCTTCATGTAGTCCCAGAATCAGCACCTATAATCAAAACATTTTCAAATCTCTCAACTACCTCAGTTATGCTTTCATGGGACCCTCCTGTTAAGCCAAGTGGTATTATAATAAGTTATGATTTAAACTTATTTGGGCCAGAAAGAAATAACTCACTCTCTACTACCAATAATTTTATCATCTTGGAAGACCTTCTGCCATTCACATTATACAGTATTTATGTAGCTGCAAGAACAATAAAAGGACCTGGTCCATCTGCCGTGCTTCAGTTCTACACAGATGAGTCAGGTGAGCAAATTCAATTGTAACCAACTTGAAATTTTGGCCCTATGTTATTGCATCCATTTCAGAGCTGAACATCAGAGCTGGAGAGAGTTGAGATGGAGGATTCATTTTCCATTGGTCTGTGCATGAGGAGCTTTCAGAATTAAACACTACAAGGGAAGTCTTTTCTGAGTTCTCCTTCTTCCACCACAGTGTGCAAGAGGAGGTCACATTCTGCATAGGAGTACAAAAATAACTCCAAGGAGAAATGTCTTTTGCCTTTGGAATGTGTCACAGTTTACCAAGTGTCAGGGATTTTAAAGCAAGCAACAGTACCTTTCTCTTCATCCCCCCATGTAACTGAAAAATGATAAAATATGTAAATATTTCTGACATATTCTTACAGATATCCTTTATATGGACCTCCTCTCACCTGCATGGTAAATTACATGTCTTGTAAATATGTATCGAGTTGTGCTCAATATAAGATGTAGGAAGCACAGTGTATCACATTCCAACAATACATGTAATATGACTTTTGTAAAATGCCTTAGTTCTGACCATGAGGATGTTTAAGTGATTAATAGATTTCTTAGATCCCTGAGAAAATCCCTTGCTGACTAAACATGTATTCCCAATTAATTGAATTTGCTTCATGCCAAAAAGAAAGAAAAATATTTAAATAGCAATGAAGACAGTTTTTTATGAGTTCAGATACAAATGATAACAAGCATACATATGTTCTGCTTCTCCAAAGTGTTCGGTTTTGCCTGGATTATTTGTAATTTGGAACTCAAGAGCATTTCTCTTTTGCAGTGCCATTAGCTCCACCCCAGAATTTGACCATTACCAACTACACGGCAGATTCTGTGTGGCTAAAATGGGATCCAAGTCCCCAGCCAAATGGTGTTATTATGAGATATAATTTTAAGATTTATCAAAACAACACTGAAAAACTTTTTTATCAGGTATGTTTATAATTAACCGTGTTTAATTTTTTAAAATCCTTTTTTCACGCTTTAGGAACAAAATAGATGACACATATTTTGGATGTCTGTTAATGCTCCTGGAATTATGAAGCTCCTCTAAATGCCTGTTTATTAAGACAGCTTATTTTCCCTTCCAACATGCCTGTGATTCAATTTTTAAAATTAGATAGAAAAAAATTGGTTAGATCTTAATTTGCTTAGAGCTTCTAATATTTCGTTACTGATAAACTTTATTAATCTTTAGTTCATATTTTGGTGTAAGTTTGATGTTAGAAAATTACCTAAGTGACTTGTTTTGTGGCTATTTTTGTTTAGCTGTTTAGTATCTGTGGACTTTCAAGATTCAAAAAGAAAGAAGGTTTGCATTTTTTCATTTTTACAGAATAAGAATAACTGAATAAATTTTAACTTAAATAGATGCTATAAAATTATATAGAGAAATTGATGAAGGCATTTATATCTGCTTTAATCTGGTGTCTTGGATGGCATCAAGAAATGCTCCATGAACTGTAAGGGCAGCAAGCTGAGGCCAGGATTGCGTCTCAGGATTGCTTACAAACTATATTGGGAGTTCTGTTCACCGGATTTTTTAGGGAAAAGGCATCGCTGCAGTGAGCTATGAGTTTAAGACATGCAGTGTAAGGTGTGGGACTGTGAGGAGCTTAATTACTCCAACTCCCTCAGCAGTACAGTCCTTATTGCAGAGACTTAGCATGCAAGGAAAGTGCCTGTGCTGTTGTTAAGCATATGCATTGTGGAATTCAGTCCCCATGAGGTGGCCTACTGTACAACCCTTTATGCAGTCTGCTGTTACTCCCCATTGTGGAATGAAGTGCTGGCATCATCCCAGTTTCTTCTGTCATCCTTGGAAGAGGGGGAGCACAGTGCACATACAGAAGAGGAACAGTGTCTTCTACAGCCAGCTGCCTTTGGAAGCATGTTCTTTGGGTGCTTGTGGAGGCCACCAAAGATTGTACCCCACTGTCCATCTGAAGCAGACTCAAACTCAATTAGACTACAGAAACTGGCTGGAGCACTTGAATGCATCTGCAATGCCTTATGTTTCTTCATGTTTTGTAATGCTATATGGGCAAGAAATTCGATTTAGGTTGTGGCAGCAAGACAGGCAGAGCAATTTATATAGAAATACTGTAGTTAGGCACCATAAATCTCTGATAACTTGGATCCCACAAAATCTTCACCAGGTTTTCTTGCTCATTTCCCTGCTGCTGTTATAGTCCTCAACATTTGCACAAAATATGCCTTGCATGCTCTGTGAAAAACAGCTACCAGGAACTGGATTCTATGAACAGTGTTTTTAGCTTTTTTGGAAGCTTTTCATCAGTCTGTGTGTCTGGCTCAGGTAAAGTAAAAGAAATGAGAAGCTATGACCCATGAGCGCTTCCACGGCAGAGGTGTAGCAAGGAAGTAGAAGGTGAGGGGGGGTAGATGTGGCAGTGTGGAGGTGACAAGAGTTTACAGTATTGGTAAAAAAAGGCATATGTGGAGTTAATCTGTTCTAACAATGCTATGGTAATTATGATACCATCCTTTGGCATATCTTCCTCACAAGCCACAGTGAAAGAGGGAGAGGAGAAAGGGAAGGAAGAATTTGACCTTGCATTCTTTTTCGCTGAGCTCAAGGAGTACTTTCACTGAAAGCTACTCAGAGTAGAAGAGGCAAGACTATGGCTCTAAATCTTCTGTTCATTTCAGTGGGTTCAAGGTGAGGCCCACAATATTTACACAGATTAATTGCGTACTAATAATTTTTCCTTCCTTAAGAACATTTCAGGTTCAAACCATGAGGCAAACCTGGTTGGATTAGAACCATTCAGCCCCTATTTTATCAGTGTGTCTGCATTTACCAAGCTTGGGAATGGCAATCAGTTCAGTAATGCTGTCCAGTTTACAACGAAGGAATCAGGTTAGATGTGACTTTTTCTAAGCTGCAGTTCTGTTTATGTATATTTTCCTTGTATGGCTGAACAACAGTCTTCCTCTTCTCTCCAAAGAAAACGTAACATAACACTATCTCATTGTCTTCTGCCTGCGCAACGCCGATTCACATTCCTATTGTACCGGATAGGCTGGGTTTGAAGTTTGAGGTCGGAAGTGTAGAATTAGAAATGTCCTCATCTGAAATGAGAGGCTTATATGGCTACTATAAATCTTTTAATAGCATCACAGATAAAGGGAGGAAAATTAGATAGATATCAGTCTTTGCAGATCAAAGCAATAATTCAGATCCCTGTGAAAATAACTGAAACTTTAGCAGTATCAAAAGCAGCTGGACAAAAGATTGGCAAATGATCTGGAAATTGCATTAAACAAACACGAATTTTTAACATTTTTTGTAATTTATTTTAGTAAGGGAAGCTAGCCACTAATTAAATATCCTAATTTGTTAGATCTTATTCTTCCTGGCAACTGGGGAAGACTACATAATATAGCTGGCTTAATTAATTAATTATGTACAGTTTTGTCTTGTGCCTTCTACAGGTCTTTTGCAGTTGCAGGTTGTTTCCAAATGAAAAATTGTATCATTTGCAAGTGAATATTAAACATTCACTAAAGAGAGCCCAGGAGCCTGTGGGTTTGTGAAACTGGCCTTTGTGCAAAACTGTAGCTCCTTTGCCAGGTCAGAGCAATCCCCAGGCTGATGTACTTTATAAGGTCTGTCAGTGCCAGGGGACCGGCATGGATTAGTGGACTGTGCCTGAACTCCCAGGTTCCTTTATACTGACAGCAAAGGAAGCAGATGAGGTATCAAAAGATCCCATGTGGTGACTACAGTTTTTTAAGACCATATTTCCAGTGAAATATTCTCTCCAGAGCTGATAAAACAGAGGTTCTGGGAAAAAGTATGCTGTTTGTTGTAACCAGCAGTTACAACACCATGAGAAATCTGGACCATCACTGAACTGCTTCGGGTTGGCTGTTGGATCTCTGCAGCTGGAGGTTGTCCTGCCCAAGAGCCATGGTCATCCATCAGTTGTCTCATTTCATCACTGACATTCCATACTCATGGTACTTTCTTCAGAACTGCTGGAGAGACATTGCCCACAGGACCGTGGTCTAGTCATTTCACAGCTTTTTCTCAGATTTTATGCCTAGCTAGTTGCAGCATTGTTTCCTTTCCCTCCAACCCCGATTTTGGGCAATTGCTGGATCAGTTCCTCATTGAGTTCATCTAAGGATTCTGTCTCTGGTCTTTATTAAAAGTGCTAGTTAATTGTCTTTCCTCTGCAGATGCTGCTTTTTTAAAAAAAAAAAGAAAAAAAGTTTTCTTTGAACTCTGAAAAGAAAATTAATAATTTGAAAGAGATTCATTTACCTCTGTGCAGTGATGCTGAACATATTTCCCTCTATTTCTGGTACCTCACTCACAGTATTTTCACTATTTTATGGATTCCTGGACATGTTTCAATAGAGGAAGTAGGTTGGGGCCCCCCTCACTGTGTATTAATTTTCTCTTAGCTGGTACAGCCAGGACTTTAGCCCTCCCTGAGATACTTTAATTCATTGTTCTATTTAATCAATTGTTCACAGATAATTGCTCTATTTTCAGCATGAGTACAATATTTGCTACCTTTTATTACATTTTTATGAGCATTTAAAAACATTTCTCCTGCAAGAAGGTGGGGAACAACAGGGTGATAGCATTGATATGACAGCTCTGAAACTTGCCCAGTGACTTCTGTGCAGGTTGTGCCTCTGCTAAAAGGACAGAGAGACATGGTACAGTGCCTAAAAGAAACAAAGCTAACGGATAAATAAGGAACTTCTGCTGTTGATACTGTTGTGGAATATGTGTATGAGTTTCACACTACTGTGTATGTTTTCTTACATTTTGATTAAAAAAACATAGGGAAAATACAAGCATATGTGAAAATAAAACTGGAGCACACAACTAGGAAAAAGCCAGATAGATGGCCTCTTCTGTTTCAAGTACTACCATCAGTCATGTTCATAGTAGTTGGAAATGAACCATCTACTAAGGACAAAGATGTATTTTGTTCTCTCAATGTGCTTCTTTTACCGTATCAATTTTTGTGCCACTGAAATGTTTGACCCTCACTATGCACACAGGGTCTAGTTCTCTGACGATACTGTTCTGTGATTACCATTTTGTGTGGGAATGTTAATCTTTGGTGCATGTGTATCTTTTAAGTACCAGATGCTGTCCAGAATGTTCATTGTATTGCAATGAGTTGGCAATCAATCCTAGTGCAGTGGGACCCTCCTGCTTCATCCAACGGTGTAATTACTCATTACATCATAACAGTTGAAGGAAATTCTACAAATTTTTCATCTTATGATACACTGCATACTTTTAGAAATCTGCTTTCCAATATTACTTATCAATTTAAAATAAAAGCTGCAACATCTGCTGGTGATGGTGAAGAACAGATATGCAATGCCAGTACACTTCCAGAAAAAGGTAAGAAATCATTCAAGTTAATTATTTTGTTTAATTTAAATGATGACTGAAACAAGCAGGCCTGAAATAGCTGATTTAATGCAGGCAGCTAAATCCTGCATTGTTGGGAGCAAAAATTTTGTTGCTTTGTTTCTACCAGGGTCCAATGCTATGACTTCATTGATTGACAATAAAGCTGTTCAGAATTTGTGCAATTAGGAAGCATTTAACTTCTTCAAGAAGACTTTGTCATAACTCTTGATGAATAGGACTTTTTAACAAGAAAGAAACTGGTGAGCTAAATCCAAAGTAGAACGTAGGCAGTTTTTTTGGCATCGAGGTAAAAAATTATCACCCAAAGTCTGTCTGTCTTTCTCTCCATGCACACTTCACACTTCAGCTAATCCTGACTGTGCTTTCATTTGGCTCCTGAAACTTCTTTATGAACTTGGAGATGAAATTCTGTGCAAAATACAGCACTGCTTCTGTGTAAACAGCTATGTGCCTAGCTTCTGAACTGGAAGTGGAGAGGAGCCCAACTCCCAGTCCAGGAAGCAAATGCCTGTTTCAGTTCTCTTCCCCAGTTAGGAATGATTTCTACTCTTGGGATTATTTCTCTTGGTTTTTTCTTCTCCAGTGATAGTTTAATATAAAAATCAAAAATAATCTTCAGGGAGCAGGATCCAGAACAAGACTTCACCTTCGTACTGAATTACAGGAGCAATTACTGCATTTAGTTCCTTTTTTTGTTTCCTCTTCAGTGACTTCAACTCATGCAGTGGAGTTGAGGAGCTCTCTAATTCAGAACAGCTGGATCATTAGGAAACATGGGGGTGGGATGGCAGGGCATGACTGTGTCCCCTGATGCTTAGAAGCCAAACGTAGCTTTTGTAATACTTTAGTTACTATGTTATTGAATAACTTAAAAGATGAGTTGCAGCACTCATTCTCATATATATTTCAACTGATAGTGTGAGTTTTGCTCAGTTCTGCCAAATAATAGAGAACAAGAGTCTGTGTCAGCAACAGGGTTTATGTTCTGGATGACCAGTTGGAGGGGGGCAGCTCTAATATGCAGACCTGAATCAGACATCTAAACTTGGAGGAGGTCAGACTTACCCTTATGCTTAGACTTCCTGTTGGTAGCTTCCTGAGCGGCTTGCACCTCTTTAGGTTCAGCCTTTGGATCTCTCCTATTCACAAAGCCTTAGTGGCCCACACTGAGCTTTGATTTCCGCACTTCTTAAAATCAGACTTGCAGATGTGCACATGTGAATGAATCTAGACCACGTCTGTATCATCAGCTGAACTACTACTGCTTTGGTTCCAGATCAAATGGCTGAGCTCCAAATGAGGATAAGCAAAGCAGCCCCTTGCTGGCATAATGCGGCCAACATTGTGAAAATAGCCAGGGTTGTACTTTGATGACTGCCCCTCTTCCTGCTAAAGCCTGGCCATATCTCCTACTTGAACAATGAGGTGGAACATTCATACCTGTTTCTGGTAAAAATGCCCTCTCTGAATTGGCTTCTTGATCAACAACAGCCCCCTCCCCCCCAAATTCTGCATTTTCTGATCCCTGTTGGTCCCCCCCCCAGTCTGGCTCCTTAGTGATTTAAGACTTCCGCCTGGGTCATCTGCCGCCTTCTTTGCTCAGAAACTTCTGTCCATTGGCAGTATTCAAAATCCACTTCTGAAGGAAGCATTGTTTAAATATTAGAGGTAAGCATACTCATATATCTTACAGTGTTGGCTGGAAACACTGTAGTGAGCTTAACTACTGTGCTGAACCTGGATGCATGTGAGCGTGCACCTACATACGCTTCTCAACTGCTGTAACTCTCCACCCTTTCTTTTAGATCAGGGCTGGTGAACAGCCAGCCCTGACTCAGAGCTCGAGTAAAACTGAAACTGGGATGGGTGTGCAGACAGTTAGGCCAATGTGCAATTAAAACTGGACTCGTCCAAAACCCAAAGGTTTTGGAGATAGTCCTATAGGAGGCATGTTACCCTCTGGGGCAGAGGAGACCAGAAGGCTTCCTAGGTACCTCACTTCTTGGTGGATGAGGGAAAGGCTTCTAGTAGCGTTAAAGCAGCCTGGCACCTAGGAAAGTTAATTGCTGGGATTTCTGAGAAATTTGGGGTTGGCTATTAATTAGTGCTTGAGGAAAGCCTGGAGAAGCTGTGGATGTGGTATTAAGCCTGGGCTTGAGAGACAGACTGTTAGTCTGTTGTGATCTATGTTACGTAGAGTTGTACTAGCAGGAGAAAAAAAACAGACTGTTTTGTAACAACATGTGACTTATGTGTCTTATCACTGGGAGTTTTCCTAAGTGAAGGATTTATACTACAATACATGTATTTTTTGCCACATACGCTGGGTGGACCGTTTCTTGCTGTTTTAGCATTGGCTCACATGTTGTTGCTTAGTCATATTTACAACAAACTAGTTATTATTAGGACATTTCCTTAACTGTGTGTTTGCATGAATTGTTTTGTGGTGACTGGGTACTAGGAATTGGAGATTAATGTTTGGGAATGGAAACAGTTTTATAGCTGTTGTCAGCTTCTTATTTATGGTGGTCTAAGATTAGTCACAGAATATGTAGCCAGCACTGAGTCACTGACAATGCATTTATTTCTGACATAAAGTGAAATCAAATTTGGCTCAGTGTCTCACTGCATAGTGTTTGACCTTTACATTCTTAGCAAGATTATTTGTCTTTTTTTTTGAGGTAAATTTGTTCATATCCGGGTACAATTAAACATGAATCATGAAGATTAAATTTATGAGGCAATTAGTAGTGTTTTGTGTCTAATCTAGCTCCATTGTCATGGTAAACCACTTCTGCCAGGTTGCAGTATATTATAAAAATTGTCGACTTTGTAATGGTAATATAACTTTGTGTTTAAATATATTATACAGGGTATGAAAGATAATATAGCAAGTACACATGCATAAATGAGTTTGGATTTTATGACTGAATAGCTATCCTTGGATTATTTTCAAGAAAATACACATATTAAAATGAAATTTCATTAAGGTTGAGTGAGCTTTTAGAAGGGAGAAAGAGCCATAAAATAGTGGGAAGCTTCTCCAAAAGGCACACTAAAACTGTGAAGATTCGCAAGTCTGGGACAAGTGTAGTAGTCATTCAGTTAAGAATAAAAATAAAACAATTAAAAAGCCACTTGGGGGGTTCAAAACATGAATAATTAAAAGAAAACTGCTGCTGTTTTAAATTTTTTAAGTTAGATTTTTCTTCATAGACGTTTTATTCTTCTCTGAAAACTGTCATTATACCAATTATAGTATTAAGACATGCAGAGTAATTTTTCCCTCCTTACTGCTAGTCCTACTTAATATTACAATTGAACACAGAGTCTTGGAACAGGTTGAGGCCCCCATTGTACTGCAGTGACAGTCCTTACCATTTGTTTTCTACTGTTTAGTAGAGATTCATTCATAACTTACATTTAAAAGAAATATGGCTAGGAATTTGTCCAGGAAACATTTTTTAATTTAATCTGTGCTTCATTTTGCTGGCCAATACTAATTTGTAGCTATACACAGAAGTATGCCTTGTGCATGAAGGAGAGTAGTGCCTAAAAGGATTGATAATGAAGTTTCTTAGGTCTTTTGGTGTGGAGGTGGCAAATTATCATCTGTTGTTACTTGTGCATAAAACGTCTTTACTCCCTGCACAGGGGAACATTTAAAGATTCTGGGTTTGTACCTCCAGGATGGAGGTGCCCATTGGAAAATGGGGGCCTTTTTTTCATCCAGGCCTGTGAGGAGCACAAAACATAGCATGGGCTTAAAGCCTTCTTCATATCCAAGGAAATGCTCTGTTTTCCTTCACCATAAATCCTTCCCTTAGGATGTGGCAGCTCATGGCAGCTCTGTGAGTTGGAGTTACATGAATTTCCTCATTAACTTGTGAAGAGAACGACAGATGACCATAATGCACTGGAAGAAATATTTAAGTCCATACCCTGAAGTGGTCCTTAGGGCCCCAAGCATGGTGTGCAGTGTGTTGGCCTGGTTATCCAGAGGAATCAACCTACTGCAAAGCCACAGCACTGGAAATGGAAGAGCTTTGGTGTACTTGTCACTGCTACAGATAAGAGCAACATGTTTCACATGTTCAATCAATGCTGCAAGTTCACATTTCCAAACTGTATTAAAGTAAAAACATCCAAAAATTGCAGAGTGAATCATGACTAAGAATCTTTGAAACACTTCTTTCCAAGATGATTGAAACAGACTTTTTTTTTTACCAGATTTCTGTTTTCTTAATGTAATGTGGATTTTTTTTTTTTAAATTTCCTGATTAGTTGGTATGTCCAAATGTCAGTTAGTGGCTTTGATGTTTATGGGAAATCTTCACTAGACAAATGCAATGATCACTTTGTTGCTGCCAGTGAAATTGCAGTGATGTTATTTTTATAAGCAGGTAGATAAAAATAGAAGAATCATATAGTGTAGGATGAAAGAAATATTTTTTCAGGACTAGGTCAACTCTAGATTAACGTATAAGAAATGGTGGTGACATATACATACAAAGCTGACATTGACAGCATTTAGAGGTCAAACAAATTGTTTGCTGAAAAGTAGACAGTGGTCCCATTTGTTGGAAAGCTCAGCATTCTTATTTAATTTCAGACTGGAATGCTAACAGCTTTTCATTACTTTTCTAAGCTTAGCTTCAAGGTGTGCATTTCTCCTTAGATTTGTAGGATTTGGTTTTTCAGTGCTTAGATCCCATAGTTAGAGATAGAATTTTCTAATGTGCTAAGGACTAAGAGACGCAGTCCAAGGGGGGGGGGCTTTTTTAAAACGTGTTCTCAACTGTGCGATTTCCTTTAAAGCATGTCTGATAGTATCAGTCCCAAGTCATGGGAAAAATAGTCTACAGTTTTTTACATTTTTATGTTAGTAAAATCAGTTGGGACCTATTTGTGATGTCCTTGTTCATACTGAGCAGGACTTTATATCATGATGAGTCCCCCTGAAAGTA